ATCTGTTTATGAAGAATTTTCATACTTTTAGATATTACATGGATGAGACTTCTGAAAAACCACTTTATATCCTTGTTATTTGTTTAATGAATTGGGTCACACTTAGCAGTGCCTATTACACTTATGATGTTTTAGAATTCTTTTGAATCTGATTTTGCTGAGTAATCAAATCATTTTTAGGCAGTAACTTAGGAGGCACTGTGTTTTCTTTTTCTTCTTTTTTCCATCTCTCCATGCCTCCCTTCCTCCTCCTTCCTTTCTTCCTTTGTTCACCTTTTCCTTCTCTCATTCCTTTTGAGGTGGAGATTGAATCTATGGCTTAGTATGTACTCTGCCACTGAGTTACACCCTCAGCCCCTAGAAGTATTGTGCTTTCTGATGTAATTTTTATTTATTACTTATATTAAACAAACTGATATTGTTGGTTTAATCAGTATATCCAGGACAGTGGAATAACAGAATTGATAAAGAACTTTAGAGATTACATTGTATTAGTTAATTTTCTTCATTCATCCTATTCCATTCACCAGGGCTCATAGTTTACAGTGTTCTTCTCCAAGGACAAGTTCCCTCTGGTCTCTTTCTTCCCAGAGTGTTACACTGAAATGGTGGGAGAAGTGCTGATCTCTCACTGGTTTATTTCCTCTGCCTGGGAGGAGGATGAGTTCTAATTATTAGCTCAATTCTATTACCTTTCTGGCAGTACTGGAGTTCGAACTCAGGGCATCACACATTTGCTGTGCAGGTACTCTACCGCTTGAGCCACATTCTCAGTTCACAACAGAACTTTTCCTTCCTTCCTTCCTTCCTGCCTTCCTCCGTCTCTCTCTTCTTTCCTTTCATTCCATCTTTCCATCCTTCCATCTCTGAAATTGAGAAAGTGGCAGATGTGTTTTTTCGGTTGATGCCATTGAATAATTGTTGGCCAAGTAGTGGTCATGATATTGCTGTTGTCTCTGTGCTTCATGAACTTATACTCATCCCTGTATCATATGGTTGTAAAATCAAGAAAGTATCCCCATTATAATTTACAAAATGGGAGTCAGTGTCTTCTAAGATAATCTGGGAGACAGTAGCAGAGTGCTCTTGTAGGAAAGGTTGGAACTAGGCTAGGTGTGGTGGCACATGCCTGCAATCCTGGCACTCAGACTGAGGCAGGGTGATCATGAGTTCAGCCAGCACAGGCTACATAGTGAGACCCTGTCCAAAAACAAAAGAAAATGCTTCACCACCAAAGCTTTTTTTCTTTGGGTAGGGTAGGTACTGGGGTTTGAACTCAGGGCTATGTGCTTGCATTGCAGGTGCTCTACCACCTGAGTCACACCTCCAGTCTACCACCAAAACTTAATGGTCAGAAGACGATATTATGTGGAAAAGTACAGACATTAGGTAATTGCATCAAAAAGTGATTTCTACAGAATCCACTTAAGGGCTGGGGGCTTGGGTCAAGTGGTAGCGTGCCTGCTGAGCAAGCATAAGACTCTGAGTTCAGACCACCAAAAAAGAAAAAAAAAAAGTCAAGCTTAAATATGAAGTATTTAATTTTTCATACGTTCATAGGGATAATAGATATACAATAGCAATTTATGTTTAAATATGTCCCAAAGGATCCTTTAAAAAAATAAAACAAAAATTCTGCATGTGGCATAATTTATATGTTTTATCTTAATGGACTGGAAAATAAAAGCACATCTTAAAAAGCATCTTAGACTTGATAAAATGTGGTAAAGGTGACCCACATAAAGTTGTCTTATCCAAAATATATTCTCTAAACTCTAAACCTTAGTATTCTTCTTTGCCTCTGTTTTTTTTCCTAAAGGAAGTAAAATTTAGCAGTAATCTACTTAGGAAATTCCCATATGCAAGCTTTGTTTATTCTTTTCATCTCTAAGATTAGATAATGGATCCCTCAGAAAACTCCCATATATGGATTTTGTTTTTAGTAGTTTCTTCCTCTTGTAAAAGAATACATGTCAATTGAAAAAAATCAAATAGTATGAAAGATACAGAAAGCCAACAGTACTGAAACTATACCATCCTTCTGATGTCATGTCTGCAGATGTTTAGTTAGCCATCTATTTATGAAAATGTGTGATTTTTACAAAATTACATATCTTTCATGCTGCCTTTTCTTATTCAGTGATGTGTTGTGGCTGCCATTCCATTTTAAGAAATATTAATTGATGAGTCAATTTTAATGACTGTAATTTCCCATTGTAGAACTGTACTGCATAATTTAAAGAGGTTCTTGTTAGTGGACATTTAGGTTGATACAGTTTTTCTAGCACTATTGCAAATAGTGGTTCGATGTTTATTTTTATGTATGCATGTTATTAAAAATGGGATTTGGATAATTATTTATTGAAATACTTGTTACTTGCTTTTAAAAAGTTTATTATTGGCTGCATGCCTGTAATCTCAGCTACTCAGCAGGCAGAGATCAGGAGGATAGCACTTCAAAGTCAGTCTAGGCAAATAGTTCAGGAGACCCTATTTCAAAAATACCTAACACAAAGAGGGGCTGGCAGGGTGGCTTAAGTAGTAGAGTGCCTACCTAACAAGTGTGAGGCCCTGAGTTCAAATCCCTGTACCACCAAAAAAGTTTTATTATTTTTTGTTTTTTAAAGGTAACAGTGCAGTGTTATTGATGTGATAGCATATAGTTTTGAAATGTCTTATGAAAACAACCTAATTGGTATTTTAAAATGAAATTTTTAACTTTAAAAAGGTGGTCTTGGGTCCTCCTGTGTATTTGAAACCTTTCATTTGTAATAAGTGGAGATGAGAGGTTATTAATGACAGAAAGGAATGGAAAAGTCAAACTACTAAGAGCAAGGAAAAATGACCAAACTGATGGAAACACAGCAAGACTGGAAAGGATGGAGGGGAGGCAAAACTTTACCTCCACCCTCTTAGGGTCCTGTCTGGGCCTGAAAATCAAATTGACATTAGATTATTGGGGGGAAAAGTATACAAATTTAATACCAGTTTTATGTGTCACAGAAGTCCTCATAAGGGAATGCAAACCCAAAGAAGTGCCAAAAACCTACATGTTTTGGTATTAGGTTAAACAAAGAAAGCCAGTTGTAGAAAAGTAGGGAAATTATGTGGGGTAAAAAGATTAGAATTGCTTTAACAAGGTCTATTTGTACAGAGGTCTCTGGACTATGACTCCCATCTAAGAATGTTCCTTTTCTCTTATTTTTCAGAAGACATCTTTCATGGGAGATTTTTAAATTTCCTGTTTTCAGAAAAAAAGGGTAAAATGAGAATGCCCTTCTTGCATCACTTTTTCTAAGCCATTACCTCAAAGTAATCCTTATATCAAGGTGGCATATTTGGGGTTCCCTTTAAGAGTAATGATTCAGGTTTAAAAAAAAAAAGGGCTTTGGAAACAGACCTGTATTTAAATCCTGATTCTGCCTCTTACTATCTTCCATAACCCGCGGAAGCCTTTTTACCCCCAGGTATCCTCTTTTGAAGAAGAGATAATAAAATAACATGAGTTATTTGTTGTGAGGATTAAATAATAATAGTAGTAATTATAGCTAATACTTTGGAATTCTTACTTTATGTACCAGACAGTATATTAAATATTTATGTGTATTTTTTCACTTGGTAAATTTGTATTACCTTAATTATCATAAACTTGTGAATTATAGGTAAATTCCACTGATGAGGAAACTAAACTAGAGAGGGATTTTGTAAGTTGCACCAAGCAACACAGCTAATAAGTAGCAAAAGCAGAATTAGACCTCTGAACAGTCTGACCCACTGGAGTCGGTGATTTGAAACACTGTCCTCTGTGCATATAAAAGTTTAACCCTGTACATAGCAAGTAGTAGTTAATATTTATGTTTAGGTTACCTTTTTAAAAAATATTGTATTAATAGCATGAGAAAACAAGCCTTAGACTGTGAGAAAATATTTGCAAAACACATTAGATGAAGGAATGTTACCTAAATTATACAAAGAACTCTTAAACCTCAACAATTAGAAAGAAAATGAACAACCCAATTTTAAAAATGGGCAAACAATTTGAACTGATAACTCACCAGAGATACACAGATGGCAAATAAACATGAAAAGATGTTCCACATCATATACCATTAGGGAATTGCATATTGAAACAAGATACCCTCATACCTATTAGACTGGTGAAAATCTACACTGAAAACACCAAAGTCTGTTGAGGTTGTGGAGCAGCAACTCTTACTCACTGCTAGTAGGTATACAAAATGGAAAACAGTTTGGCAGTTTCTTATGAAACATACCATATAATCCTGCAGTTACACCATTTGTTATTTACCCAAATGAATTGAAAACATATGTCTATGCTGAAACCTGCACATGCATGTTTATAGCAGCTTTATTCGTAACTGCTCAAATTTGGGAACAATCAACATGTCATGGGTGAGTGGATAAATAAACTATGGTACATCCAGACAGTGGAATATTATTCAACACTAAAAAGAAATGATCTGTCAAGCCACGAAAAGACCAGAGGAACGTTAATCTCAAATTACAAAGTAAAAGACAATCTGAAAAGTCTCCACACTGTATGATCCCAACTATATGACGTTCTGGTAAAGGCCAAGTCAAGGAGGCAGTGAAAAGATCAGAGGTTGCCAGCAGTTAGGAAGAGGTAGAATAAGTAAAACAGAGCACAGAGGATTTTTAGAATAGTAAAACTATCTTGTATGATACTGTCTGGTGGATACATCACGTTATACATTTGTTGAAACCCGTAGAGTATGCAGAATCAGGAGTGAATCATGATGTACACTATGTACTTGGAATGATAATGATGTGTTCATCATTTGTAGAATGTTGGGTACTATTGATAGTGGGGGAGGGTTTGCATGTGTGGGAGCAGGGGATATAAAGGAGTTCTACTTTCTGCTCAGTTTTGCTATAAACCTAAATTTCAGTTGAAAATAAAATTAAAAATTTAAAAGTATGCATTGTAAGTATGACACCTCTGGTACTTTTATTTTTAGGCCCAGAATAAAGAGACAAATGTTTTAGCTGCTGCAAAGGTGATTGACACCAAATCTGAAGAAGAACTAGAAGATTATATGGTTGAGATTGATATATTAGCATCTTGTGATCACCCAAACATAGTCAAGCTTCTAGATGCCTTCTATTATGAAAACAATCTTTGGGTAAGTATTTTCTAGTGATCTGTGCAGATCACTAGATTCCAAAATGAATTGATTGTCCTAAAGAGGTTATGGAAACTTAATTTATATATTACCTCTTTTATTTAGTTACTTATGTTACTTGAAAGAAAGTTGATCTTCCAGTGAGAGTAATTAACCATATAATTATCCTCAGCTTCAACAGATGTTCAGATTTAGGTTTCAGATCATACCAGTTTCATAATTGTTTGACATTGGATCCTGGTGGAAAAACAGTCAGAAATATTAAATTTCCGCAAATAGGAAATTAGATGCCCTCATTTGTAATTTAAATTTAAGTAGTTATTTAAAAATTTTTAAGGGTTCTTTGTTTTCCTGTAAATTGTTTAATAACTTTTAACCCTAAAGTTTACATGCATTATATAACAACCTATAAAATACTTCTTAGAAATGCCAAATATTTATCTTATATATTATCAGGCTCTAGCAGAATATTTCCAAAGATTATAATGGAAACTAACTCCCAGATAATTTAATAAGTTAGGTCTTTACTAGAGACTGTTGCAAAATAAACATTTGGAGTATAATCAGGGACAGTTAATGGAAGGCATAGATATTAATAAAAGAATCACACTGTGTTAAGGGTTAAGATGGAAGAGTACATGGTGTTATATTTTACTACGGAGGTCAAGGAAAGTACCCATTAGCAAGTGATAATTGAGTTAGAATCTGAAGCTTTGTGAATGTATGTTTATGTATACATAAACGAAGTCTATATATTTTTAAGGATTTCTTTTCATTGATAGTTAAACAATATATTTGATTACTTAAATCATAATAGTTACCTTAAAAATGAGAACAGCATTTTACAGAGGTGACAAAATAAATATATAACACTGTACTGAATAAAATAAATCTATACCTGATAATTTTAGTGAACCAAGGATACTAAAAATGGTCATTAACAAAAATGGGAATGGCTGGGTATGGTGGTGCATGTCTGTACTCCCAGTACTTGGGAGGTAGAGGCAGGACAGTTGTAAGTTTTAAGGCCAGCCTGGGTTACACAGCAAGGCCTATCTCAAAAAACGAACAAAAACAAAGGAACAAGGAAAGGCTTTTACAATGTGTTCGCCTTGTACTTCTCAAATGTTTCGATAATGCAGATTATTTGATAATGATTCCTTTATATTTTTTGCTAAGTTGAAAAATTTCTGAAACTCAATGTAGTTTTAGACACGTACTTTTTTATTTGCATGCAGATCCTCATTGAATTTTGTGCAGGTGGAGCAGTAGATGCTGTGATGCTTGGTAAATACATTTTTATTTTTTGTTTGTGTCTTAAACTATATTTAAAAGAATTTCAAACATTTATATATACATATATATATAATTAGAGAGTGAAGTTCAATAAATTAAGAAATCAACTTTATATTCTTGGGTAATTATAATATAATCTAAAATGAAATGTTGAGTCTACTATATCAGGAAATTAATTTTTGTAAATATTTAATTTTAAAATAAGTTTACTGTATATGATCTTTGGCAAGATCACAGAGATATGGTATATACTGAAAGATAATTAGTCCACTATGCTTTCATTGTATAAAAATGAAGATTTTTTTTATTTTAACTTTCTCTTTATAGAACTTGAGAGACCATTAACTGAGTCACAAATACAAGTAGTTTGCAAGCAGACTTTAGAGGCATTGAATTACTTACATGATAATAAAATCATCCACAGAGATCTAAAAGCTGGCAACATTCTTTTTACCTTAGATGGAGATATTAAATTGGGTAAGTTATTCAAGTCAGTAAAACCTTTGAATTTGTGCTCTGAGATTTAGCCCTGTATGTATGTGACTTGATATTGTTTCGTTACCACTCAAATATTTGAAACATGGAGAATTACTTCCTTGTAGTTAAAAAAAAAATTCCTTGGATAAATATTCATTAACTCTCAGAATTCCTAAGTATATATGCACCTAAAATAAAGACACTTTAAAAAGAAAGGATGGTTTTTACTTTCAAAAGGACAAACTTAAAAGTCTGGCTAAAATTTTTTTCCTGTAATTTTTTGTATATAGACATAACACTTATAAATATTTTGCATTTAGAGTATAATATAGTATAGTAATACTAACTCAATTTTATCTTCATTCTTGAAATTTATGTTTTGTAGATTTTTTTCCCATATTTAGTTTTATATTCTATTTTATATATAGGATGCTTTTATAAATATGGGCAAACCAGCAAAATAACCTTAAGTTTGAAAGTGATACCTAAAATAAGTATAAGGACTAGTATTTTAATTTCTTTTACACCGAAGGAATAAATGATTAACTCCACAAGAAGTAGATGTAGGTTTTAGATCGGAAGTTAAATAATTTGGTATATACACATACAAATGGAAGATATGGCTTTCTTTAAATACATCCAAGATAGGGTGTTTAAAAAAATCTGATGAGGTGTAAATCTGTGTATTTTGGAATGGTATTAAGAGGGAAAAATATATTCACAGCCACCTTGATACTAGTGATTGTAGCCATTTTACTTTACTTTGTTATGACATCTAAATGGGGATATACTAAATTTTATCCTTTTTATTGTGACATAATCATAGATATAGAAAACCGTAGGAAAAACTATGTAGCTTTCAGGATAAGAGCTTTGAAATCACCACTTAGGTCAGGAAATCAAATGTTACCAGGCACCCCAGTAGTTCTTCCATGTGCCCATCTCAACCACCACACCTCCCTTCTCACTCTTTGTCCTGAATTTTCTTGTTATCACTTCCTTGCTTTCTTTATGGCCCAGTCACCCTGTGTTCATCTCTAGACATTACAGTTTAAACTTGCCTATATATAAATTTTGATTTTTTTTTTTAAGTCTCCTTTAATTTACAGATCCCCTCGCTATCCCTTTCTTTGCATGATGGTGTGCATTTTCATAGAGGCAGTATTACCCTCAAGGGAGCAATAATTCATTCCTTTGGAGCAAAAATATTAGATAAAACAATGGGTTGTGGACCCCTCACCCCGTGGCCAAAGGCACACAGTGCACGAACAGATATATAGTATATCTGTGTATCTGTGGCATTAAAATTTCATGGGGACAGGGAGGATTAGGAAAAATTATCTAAAAGCATTTCCTTAAAGGGAGTTAGTAATGAAAGAAAGTTGAAAAACACTGATCCATGGGACCTGGGCTGTTTGACCTGTAGTTTTCCCTCCAACTGCATTTTGCATTTTGCTTATTGCATAGTCACAATCATGACGATTTAATAAACTTTCTTTGTAGTTCCCACAAATTGGCAGATGAAGCCAAAGGCTTGATAAGACTATAGGTGATTTTCATTCTTTCATCAAGAGGCACACACTTCTGCTTTTTGCTAATTTTTTTTTGATATTAGCAGCTATTGATGTTTAATACCTAGATTCCTTCTTTGATTGGGGTTGAAAAATGAATTCTATCATTTTTCATTTGTTGTTTTTGGTAATTATTTTGATATAATTAATTTCATACTTTTTATGTGTTATTATAAATTGAGTATAACTTTATAAAAAGTTACTTCTGTTTAACTCCTTGGTTATTTAGGACCATAGCTCATTTAGAAAAGACAGGAAAAAGGCTTTATTGCTTTTATTTAGCTTTTAAGGTAATGAATTGGTTCTGAGCCCTAAGCTGGAAAAGGAGGGTAACCAAATGAGGAAACTATAATGTTGCTGTTCTTTGTAAGTTAAATCAGAAAACATAAGGTTTCTAATTTTTTTCTTCGTAATATAATTATTTTTATGTTGGCTTTTTGAGACAGGGTCTTGCTTTATAGCTGAGGCTGGCCTTGAACTCACTATATAGACCAGGTAGGCCTCCAACTTGAGATCCTTCTGGGTGCTGGGATTATAGGTGCCCACCACCATACTTGGTTTCTTTGTGACATATTTTATAAGGAAGTTGGCAAGACTTAAGGCTGTCAAAAAAGGCTACTTTGGGTTTTTTTTTTTTTTTTTAATTCATTTAGTTACATGTGCATACCTTGTTTGGGTCATTTCTCCCCCCTCCCCCCCTCCCCCACCCAAAAAAGGCTACTTTGGTATAATTTCTATTTTCACACTATAGAAAAAAATGTTGATTTAATTGCAACTTGTAGCACTAGTTGGTGTTTGTTTTAAAGTGGATAAAACGTTCTATTTTTGTTTTCAATTCTAAAGAATTTGTCATCTGAAGACGTGTAAACATGGTAGTATTAAGTGTATTCGTGGTGGAAGTTTTTGGCAGTGTTTTTGGAAGGTGGCAGGAAGAGGGTGGTTAAGATTAGAATGGCAGAGAAATTGTTTCTCTTTCTATTTTGCTTACACTTTAATAAGAGTGGCCTTATTAAAGACTCGAAATGCTCCCCTCTCTTGCCTCATTGAATAGATTAACTGTGCTTAAAAACTGCGTTAATGTTATTGTATTATTATTTATTTCAAGCGGATTTTGGAGTATCAGCTAAAAACACAAGGACAATTCAAAGAAGGGATTCCTTTATTGGCACACCATATTGGTAGGTTTTTATTTTTACGAACTTACAGTGCTAGTCATGTTAGCAATTATTACTAATTTTGTCTACATAAATTTATTATACTAAGTATGGTTTTAATAGTTCTTAAGTTAAACATCTTAACTTTCAATTCTCTGTCTTCATAGGATGGCTCCTGAAGTAGTCATGTGTGAGACATCGAAGGACAGGCCCTATGACTACAAAGCTGATGTTTGGTCCCTGGGTATCACTTTAATAGAAATGGCTGAGATAGAACCACCTCATCATGAGTTAAATCCAATGCGAGTGCTGCTAAAAATAGCAAAATCTGAGCCCCCAACATTAGCACAGCCATCAAGATGGTAAACTATTCTAAACAAAGCTCTTTAAGAAGCAAAACTTGATGCTTTGTTTTTCTAATTTTCTAAGGGTACTTAAAATTAAGTTGGTATGTAAAAGACTACATGAATGAGAAAATACACTATTTTCAAGCTATAAGGACTGTATAGATAACTAATTTTTCCTGTGATTTGAAAATATGAGTGAGTTGAGATCTATAAGAAAAAGGTGTTTGCTGAACTGTAGAAAGTGAGGCCTGTGTGTGGTTGATGTGCATTTGTGGAATTTAGTATAATAGAATTTTTATGATTTTGACATACTTGTGAATATATGACTAAGTCAGTACTTCCTTACATACATATAAAATGTTCCTGTTAAAATTTTATTTTCAAGGTCTTCAAATTTTAAGGACTTTCTAAAGAAATGCTTGGAAAAGAATGTGGATGCCAGGTGGACTACATCTCAACTACTGCAGGTAAAATAGGGGTAGTTTGATAACAGCAAGTCATACCACTTTAATGCGTCTTTAAAGTAATACAATCTCAGATTCATTCACTGTGCTCTTTCCATTTGGGATTCTTTGTAGAAAGCTAAAATACATGGTGTAGTACTTAACATTTTGTTTACAGACATGTGATGCCATAATTAGCAGGCAGTGAGTTTATAAGTCATTACTCTTGTGCTTTTTTGATTCAGTTTAGTTATGTTCTTTTCATTTTTGTTAGTTGTTTTTGTAATGCCTCTCTAATTACTGAAAGAAAGCACCTTGTGGGCAGTGGCCATGAACTAATTAATTTTTTTTATATCTCTTACAGTGAGCGTAAGTATTCAGTAAATATTGTTGACTTTTAAAACATGATGTTAAAATGATTGGATAAATTTAAGTTTGGTTTAAAACAGGACCTGTTTGGAATATTTGAAATAAAAATTTGTCAAATAATATTATAGGTAGACAAATAGAATAACAAATCCTGGGACATTGCTATTAGGATAAATTGTGTGTACCTGCTGTGTTGTAGTGTTTTAGTCTGGGTTGTTTATCTGGAGAGTGGGGAAGCAGTTAAAAATTGCTTTGCTTTATGCAACAAATATGTTGAATTATTATCCACTACTACCCATTACCTACTACTACTGCATTTTTTCTCTTCTTTTTTTTTTTTTTGGCTAGTACTGAGTTTGAGCTTAGGGCTTCATGGTTGCAAGGCAGGCACTCTAGTGCTTGAGCTACACCTCTAGCCCCTACTCTGGCATTTGAAGTCAATGACAGATATTGTTATGTATTAAGAATACAGAGAAGAATAAAATGTCCTTACTCTTCAGAACAGAGTAAAACAGGTACTTTTAGGTACTATTAACAGAAATCTGAAGCTTTTTGTGATGTTACTGAGGCTTTGGTAGGATTTATATAGATAGTTGTTACTTTTTAAGAATAATGTACTGACTTGAAACCTGTTTTAAAGTGGAATTTTAAAATTATTATTATTATTATTATATGGGACTGGAGTTTGAACTCAGGCTTCACTTTTGCTAGGCAGGCGCTCTACCACTTGAGCCACTCCACCAGCCTAAAATTTAGTTTTAAAAATTTATGCTTAATTTTCAAGCATACAGAAAACTACATGTACCTACTATGTTGATGTAACAGGTCTTATAACTTTTAATGAATTTCTTTAACATTCTTAAAAAATAAACAAGCAAACAAAAACCCAACAACAACAAAAAAGATCCAGTTTCAGGCAGCCCTTACTTTTGCTCATTCCCCTCTACTTCTTTTTCTTTCCTGGTGTTACATTTTCTGAACTTGTTTGTTTTTTTCCTACCCATAATTTCTGGTTTTTTTCACATAAGGATGTGTGCTTTATGTGTTTGAAATTTACTTTATAAGTAGGCATTTCAGTTGTTTTTGAATATGCTTTTTTTAATGATCAACAGCATCCCTTTGTTACTGTTGATTCCAACAAACCCATTCGAGAACTGATTGCAGAGGCAAAGGCTGAAGTAACAGAAGAAGTTGAAGATGGCAAGGAGGAAGATGATGATGAGGAAGCAGAAAATTCTCTGGTCAGTATCTAGAAAGGAAATTTCATTTAGTTAACTTTTAGAGTTAGGTTGTGATTTGTTGCAAGTGTATCTAAGGGATAACTGGTTGGTGGCTGTATAAAACCCTTGACTTTAGAAGTGAAGTTGATGGCAGGGTTGCCGCTTGCTACCCATTTTCATCATATTTATTATTGGAGAGTTGTCAGTTCTTTATATAATGTCAGCAAATTCTACTGAACAGATATTGAAAATCATTATATGTATAAACAGTGTTGATCACCATCTTCAGTTCATGTTTTAACACTAAAAATTTATAAAATCTTTTTTAGCCAATACCTGCAAGTAAGCGTGCCTCCTCTGATCTCAGTATTGCCAGCTCTGAGGAAGATAAACTTTCACAAAATGCTTGTATTTTGGAATCCGTCTCAGAAAAAACAGAACACAGTGCTTCTGAAGATAAATTTAGCAACAAAATTCTTAATGAAAAACCCACCACTGATGAACCAGAAAAGGCTGTGGAGAGTACTAATGAATATGTAAATGATGCTAATTTAGAAGCTATGCTTGAACTCCATGATAAAACAACAGAAATTCAGGAGAATGGAAGGGAGAAGAAGAGACCCAAGCTTGAAAATTTACCTGACAAAGACCAAGAAACTGTGGATATTAAATCAGTCAGTGAAGGAAGAGAGAATAATATAACAACTTTAGAAACAAATATTAAACATAATCTGAAACCTGAGGAAGAAAGAGATCAAGAAAAGCAACAGGTATTTGAAAATAAACTTACAGAATCTGAAGAAATTAAAGATACTTTGATGGATTTAGTGTCTCAAGAGGCTGGAGAAACAGAAGCAGATATCCAGGCAATTGATAATGAAGTTAAGCTTACAAAGGAAGATACCCAAGAGAACTTAGGAAAAGATGATAAAACTCAAACAGATGTGATCAGCAATACAAGCAGTGTGGTAGGAACTGATGAAGCAATCGATGTTGCTCAGAAGGCAGTTGAAAATAATACTGAAGATGCTCAGAGTAAGAATGGGAAAAAAGGGGTTGAAGAAGCCCAGAAATTAATAAATAAGCCTACGGAGGGTCCTATGACTGGTGGTACAGAGGAAGTACCTCCTGTTGAAGAAATAGTTGAGCCTAAGGAGATAGATCAAACAGCTGTAGAAAGTAAAACTGAGGAGCAGTTAATCAACAGTTTGGAGAACATATCGGAGGCCAATGAAGAACCAGTGGCACATGAAGTTGAGGAAGTTCCTGAGTCAAATAGCACTGAAGAAATAGAAGTCAAAAGGACAGTGATTGATACTGATGAAAAGGCTCTTGAAAGTGAAATTCAGGTTGTTCATGAAGCTACTGCTCAGATAGATACAGAGAAAAAAGAAATTCCACACGAAGTGCCAATTCAAACAGAACCTCAAGTTCCTGCAGCTTCACAGCCTAGTGAACCTCAGCCTGTCCCAATACCCAGTATTAATATCAACTCTGAAGATACAGAAAATAAAGGAGAAATAGGTGCTTTCTCAAAAACAGAAACAATTCTGCAACCAGAACCTGAGAATCAAAAGGAAAATGATACTGATTCAGGTACTGGTTCTACTGCTGATAATAGCAGCATTGACTTGAATTTATCCATCTCTAGCTTCCTAAGCAAAACTAAAGACAGTGGATCAATATCTTTACAAGTAAGTGCACATGGGTCCTTGTTTGTGTTTCTCCTTGTCATTATGGCAATTTAGAGTTTATTCCTGTCTTGAAAACATACCTGTGTAATACTAACCCTGTGAATTCTTTTGAACTATTAAGGTAATTAGTTAAAAAAGAACCAAGGAGATTCTGAATGTAATTTTCTTTAAATTTTTTAGTAGATCTTAATTTTATAAATCTGATACAAACAGTACAGTATAGTTGATTAATTTGATTTAGGTTTTTAAAATTGCCCATATCTAGATGTAGTTTTAGCAGGGGTCACTAATATGTGAAAGAACTGAGAAACTGAAAGAACTGTTAGTTTTTAAGCATGCTTAGGATATAAACAATCCTTGACTTACTACTGGCTCCTACAGACTACCACCCTTGCTTTCCTTAGGCATAGCCATTGCTATTGCCATAAAAACCATTGTGAAAACAGAACCCGAACCTACAACTCATCATCAGACTTGGAGCTACAGGAGCATAACTCTCAAGTCTCCGTGTGCTTAGGTGTCACCAGGGAGAGCTATGTAGAAGTCTGGGGAGGGTTATGAGAATCAGTATTTGTAACAAGAGATCCAATACAGGTGAGCCATGGACTACCTTTTGGAAAGTACTTTTTGGATACTCTGGGTGGATAAGTAACAGAAGAGAAAATTGAAAAGCTGAAAACACTTTAGGAGAACTAACCTTAGGCACAGGACTTTAAGACATATGACTGGTCAGCCTGCCTATTTGCCCCAACGTATTTCATGTGTTGCCTGGATTTTCTTTTTTTTCAGTTTACTTTGTTTCAGTGATTGAAATTCCATTAATCCAAAATTCATTCACTGACATAATAGCTTCTTTTAAAACATACAAATACTTCTGTGAAGAATATATTGTGGATACCATAGTAGCAGCTGAAGAAATGTGAAGTCTGGAGGTTAAGGAAGGTAGGTTTGTTTAGAGCAGGCCAACGTTAAATTTTTGAGGAAGTCAGGAGAAGCTACTATAGTCAAGGGCCACGAGGATCCTGGGACCTGGAGATTGGAACAGAAAGAAGTTGCAGAAAGGTGATCAAAAGATGCCAGAAGCCAACTTTAAAATTCGATTGCATTTTAGGTTTAACATTTTTACCTTCTACTTTTGCTTCCCCCCTCCCTCCATCACCTCTCCCTCCCTTCCGTCCTCTTTCCATCCTTCATTCTTTCCCCTTCCCTCCCGTCCCCTTTCCTCTCCACTCCCCCTCCACCTACTTTCTCCTCTTCCTCTTCCTCTTCTTCTTCCTCTACTGTATACCTCAGTCTGGCCTCAAACCCTGAGTGCTGGCTGCTCCTTCCTAAACTCCTTCCGCCACAGTTAAACCAAGTAATTATCTGATCTCCACACTTAATTGTTCACCAAAATGTATTTGTAGAGTTATATTTCTGTTATTTCTATTAGCATTTAAAAGCTTTGGAGTCCCCATTGGGGAATAGAGAGTGAGGAATAAAGCACTTGTTCTTAATAAGGAATTTTAGGCTATATCTAGTAGGCAGCTCTGGTACTTTAGGATATAGTAGAAGCACTGTCTTTCTGGGAACTCAGAAGTCACATGACCAGCTCTGGCCCTAGATGGAGAAATGTCATTGTTACTATTGCTACAGCCCTGGCAATGTTCAAACCTTTTCTGAGGGCTGGAGGTATGGCTCAAGGCCCTGAGTTCAAACCCCGTACCACAAAAAAACAAAAAAAGAAAAAAACTTACTTTGAGAATGTTGTCGCGAAAATAGATTCGTAGCTGCCCTCAGTCCTGTTGCTTTAGATTTTTTTTTTTAAATGAGCCTCTTAGAATTCATTTTAAGTGTTTTGTGAGTGAAAAAGCAGAGGTATCTCAGCTAAGACTGAAAAGATGAAGAAAAAATTGTTGACATGTAAAAGTTACACTGTTTAGCCATTTATGTGAAATGCTCACTGTCATTCATGCCTAATTATGGTAGTGTCTTAAAAGTAAAATGTCTACTTTTACTTTTAAAGAAATGATTTCATCTATAAAATCAAATGTAAATCAAATGAAGCATAATGTAATAGAACTGATTCCACAGATGAGTCTCACTGCTTTAGACTTATAGTCTTCATGACTGTTCAGATATTTTTATTTTTTAGAAAAATGTTTGCTTGTTTTTTTGCCTCTGAATTCCTTATACAAAACCTAACTTAAATGAAATCTTATCCAGGAAACAAGAAGACAAAAGAAAACACTGAAGAAAACACGGAAATTTATTGTTGATGGTGTAGAAGTGAGTGTCACGACGTCAAAGATAGTTACAGATAGTGATTCCAAAACCGAGGAATTGAGGTTTCTCAGGTGAGTAGAGAAACTACGTAATTAAAACTAGTTTGTGGGTTGGAGGAATAGCTCAAGTGGTAGAGCACCTGCCTAGCAAACGTGAAGCCTGGAGTTCAAACCCCACTAACACACACACACACACACACACACACACACACAGTTCACCTGGAGTTCACACACACACACACACACACACACACACACACACACACACACAGTTCACCTGGAGTACACACACACACACACACACACACACACACACACACACACACCAACCGTTTGTATCCTGTTTTGTGTTTCTGCAGAGTCTGAAGAATAATTAAGGGTAAATTCTTGGTCAGTTTTGGAGTATTTAAAAATTGTTTTCTAAATTAAAAATTATTTTTTAAACTTTTTTCCTAAAGTGTTAAGGTGTAATTTTTGTTGCTTTCTGTCTTTACTCATGCATTTTGTCAGACGTCAAGAACTTCGAGAATTAAGGTTTCTTCAAAAAGAAGAGCAGAGAGCCCAACAGCAGCTCAATAGCAAACTGCAGCAGCAACGAGAACAGATTTTCCGGCGCTTTGAGCAAGAAATGATGGTACAGTCTTAGGTTTTTGTACCATTTTGTTTATAATGAAATTTAGTGCTTAAAAAACAAAACAAAACAGTGAGTTTTAGAATTTAATTTCTGATTATTAGAAACCAGTATTTCTTAGATGTGCATGTTGTTGGTTAATTTTTCAGTGTTCCAATTCCATCGTTCAGTATAGAATCTTAATATTTTAAGTCAGCCTACAGTAGTTGTTTTCCTACTGGCTGAGTATTAGAACTCCATGGGGGCTTTTGCAAAATCCACCTTCTTCTCTAGCTCTTGTAGTTAAGCCTTCATCTTCCTATTCATTGCTGCCACAGAAAACAGTTATAACTAGTCAAGAGTAATTGTTTCTAGTCCTTCAGTTTTTACTTGTGTCTGGAGTTGGAAAGAGAGTAATGTGATACAAATTTTGATATCTTAAACTTAACATTTAGGTTAATGTAGTTTAGAGAAAAGATCATTTGAACTAGTATTCAAGTTTAAATAGAGTTCCACTGTCTTGTAATTGTAAGTGGTAAGTATTGTTTTGCGTGAAGTGTGGCATTGGTTGATTACATGTATTGTATCATATCAGTAAATTCCTAAGAAAATGAGATCTTATTCTTACTAAATATTTTCATAATACTTATAGCCTGTATAAACCAAATTGTTTAGTTTTTCAGCTTCTTCTATTTTAATTCTTTTGGCTTTTCTTGAGACAGGGTCTCTCTAAGAAGTTCGGGCTGCTCTTGAACTTGTGATCTTTCTCCTCCATCTTCCCAAGTGTTGGGATTATAGGCTTGCATTGCCATACCCAGCTTCAATTTCTTTTAAAAAAGAAAGCATACTTATTACAAATATTTATATCAGTAACAAAATTGTTTTGTAACTTGAGTATGTGGAGTCATTTGTTGAAAGAGTAGATTTATAATTCCAGAAGATTTGTTTCACTAGATAGAATAAGATGTTTATTTTAAGAATCTTAATGATGAAGAGAAAATCTGAAAATGACAACTACTGCTACATTTTTAAATGTTTTCAGATGATCCCTTTGACTTATCAAAAAATTTCACTGAATGAATATTGACATTTTTCTTACTTTAGTAATTCACAGCAATTAGGAATTCTGGATGTCAAGTTTTTTAACATTCTATTGTATAGCGGAAGTAAAAATGGTAGAAGATAAGTGCTATCCATCATTTTGAAGAATCTCATAACATTTTATTGCATTTGATTTCAGTATTGCAAAGATTATATCACATCACTAAATTTAAATACTACTTACATGTTCTTAGTAAACGTCTTCACTATAATGACTTAGTATGGCTAATATGCTACATTGTTTTATAGAGTAAAAAGCGACAATATGACCAGGAAATTGAGAATCTAGAAAAGCAACAGAAACAGACTATTGAACGACTAGAACAAGAACACACAAATCGCTTGCGAGATGAAGCCAAACGCATTAAAGGGGAACAAGAAAAAGAGCTTTCCAAATTTCAGAATATACTAAAGAACCGGAAGAAGGAGGTAAGTGTAACTACTGTTTGTAATTACTACGGTATTTTTAAAAATGTAAATTTAAGGCTATTCATTCTCAGTCCTTCCTTTGTCCTGTCTTCCCAACAGTGATGAGTTGGCAGTAGTAAGGTCAGGTATTATCCCCATTTTACTGCCAAGACAGATAAGTAAAAGAGGTTTTAGTGGCCTGATCAGGTTCATAAACTCACTAAATGTCTAGCAACCTTCAGCCAAGTCTTTAAACTAAATCTAATCTGTGTTCTAATCTACCCTTCCTCTTTTATTAATGCAACATTTGAGGCCTTATATAGAAATGTTTTTTCAAGAAAACTTACTTCATTGATATTTGCCAATGGCAGCAATAATCATTTTATTATTTATTAATTGCCATCTTTGGTTCATACTTATAGGAAATTTTTCTTGACTAGCTTTATTGATTTTCTTAGACATTGTACCAAACAAAACCTGAATAACTTGGAATTCAAAATAATATCTATAAGCCCATCAAATTGAAAGGTGATTTGAAGAAGCAAAAGTGGGAAAATATTAATTAGAATGAGTTTTTATCTTTCTTGAAATGGTTTCATTTCAATATTATTATTTACTATAAAATTTACTTATTTTTTGCTATATTATTTACTATAAAAGATTGCCATTGATTCATAAGGAGGATTTCCACATTTTATTGCATCTTTTTGTCCCCAAATTAAAATAAAACTGCAAGAACGTTACATATAAATAAATAATTTTCAGAGATATGGTTTATGGTTTATTTTGCATCTTCAGTGTAGGAGGAGGATTAACTTTTTCATGATATAAAGACCCCAGGGAAAATAATTATAATTAGTTCTATTAGAATTGGAAAAAAAAGTCTCAACCAAACTAGTAAATTCATTTTCATTTTTATAACATATTTTACATAGCCAGAGATTCCTTAGCTTCATTGAAATTATGAAGAGAATTGGATGTTATACTGTTGAATCTTAAGGATGTGCTTTAAATTGGATAAAGTTGAATGTTAATAGAATATGTTCAGTGATTTCTTTAGGCAAAGATGAATGTAAAGGTGTGTAATTTTATTTGATGTAGCTACCATTTCTCAAAATAAGGTTTTATTTTACTGTTTATCATGTTTTATATAGAATTGCTCCATATACCATGATGGGATATTTGTTAATTTTCTTAAAACTGTGGATAGTTTTTATTGAGAGGTTATTCTTCGTATCACATTAAATTAAAATATTTTTACAGTTAAATATGACTTAATCCGAAACAAGTAAGTCTTCAGTGAATGTTTTGAAGTAGAGTTTTAGCTAGTAACGTGTTTGAGATCATGATACACATATCTTAAATAATTTTATTATGCATTTTTTCCTTATTGCTAAACTTCTTGCATTTGGGGAGTCTCTTCCTTTATTGGTGATTTGGTTTCATGAGGGATTGCTGATGGGACATTTTAAATACACTATATTGAATCAAAATGAGCCTCTTTCTTGGACCATCAATGGCATGTGGTGATTTGGAATCTGGTTCTCTTGGTGCCTCCACTTACAAACATGTGATTGTTTTTCATAGCTGGATTACAGATTGTAATGTAGATATGTAAATGGAATTCATTTAGGATTTTGCAATGATTAAAAGAAGGAATTTTATACTTCATTTTATAATATGCTTTATTGGTATAATAAGTTATAGTTTAATAAACTTTAAGAGTGCTTATATTACTGATTTTAAAGTTGACAAACTTGGTTTAAATTGTCAGCAAAGGAGAATGTATTCTAGTCCTACAAAATGTCACACCATGTATAAAATGGTGTGTTTTCTGAAAAAAAATTGTCTATTTGTTTCTCCTTTGTGTATTCTAAAATTAGCTTTCTTTTTTATTTTTCCTGGATTTCATTTAGAATTATTTCTTTAGTATTATCAAGTCAGTTATAAAAGTTTGTACTTTTATAAATGGCATTAGCTTTTTTATGGTCAATCAATGTCAATAGATACATTTTTAATTTTATGATCTTTCAAGAAGGTCAGTTGAGTTTACCATCATTTTTGCTTTCTTCAGTCTTAATGCTGCAGGTAATCCTGTACTGATTATCTTTGGAGCTCTGAGAGAAATGGTATATAGGGATAACTAAGCAACTAACCTTTGTATGTTGTAATGACCCTTTCTGCACTAAGATTAAGCATGTTCTGTCCTTTCATTCTTTTTCACCAAACTAACATTTACGCTAATGCATGTTGAAAGGAACTTTTTAACAACTCTAGTATCTGACTTATAGCTTGTCTGCTCACATAAATGCACTTGCTGTGGAGAAAGTATTATTTCCCCACCTCCTGCATGCTTGTACACTGTAGGTTTTAAATGAAGTGGAGAAAGCACCCAAAGAGCTGAGAAAAGAGCTCATGAAACGCAGGAAAGAGGAGTTTGCACAAAGCCAGCATGCTCAGGTAACAGCAGCAGCTTAATGCTACTAAAACCAGAAAAGCAGCGTTTTCTCACAGCTCAATAAATCATGGTTGAAAGAGCAGATTTTAATTATAATTATTATATGATGTTGAACTTCCCATCTATGGATTTCCAGGACCTTCTTTTTATAGTGCTACTTTACACTGTGGTGACATTTAAGTTGCTAATGTGAAAGTAACTAGAATGTTTAGAAAGTTGACTTGATGAAAGCTTATATTTTTAAGTAGTAATGACAATGTTTGATAGAAGACTTAGGACAGAAAATTAGAGGGTGAGTATATACATCTTGTGGTTAGGAAAAGAATACCCATTAGAAGGCCATTATGTCTATAAAGTTCAAAGCTAGAAGAAAAATGTTAAATGACAGATCAAACATTTATGACTTTTAAGCTCAACAGTATAAGCAACTGTAAAACCAGATTTTAAATGTTAAGTATGTTGCTTTTCTTTTTGATTCAGAATCTAGCAGCTCAGTGAGTAGATTTTTTTTTTACCTACATTGAGTTAAATAAAGAAACTTAATTCTGGGCTATTATAAGACTTTATCATAAGATGAATAAATTCTTTATGAAACTAGATAGATTAGAATTTTTATCAGAGTTTTCTAGAGTTATTTCATATAATTCTGTGCCCTTGTATACTAAGAAAGGTGGATCTCCTAATTAAGTTTGCATTGAGCCTGGAAGCAGATAGAGAAATAAGCCTAATTTTTAGTTACATGTCAATAAAGGAAGAAGAAACATGCTTTATGTGCTAATTGTTGCTTTGAATTATCCTTTTGATATAGTTTTATGTGGTTTTTAAACAGTGGTTCCCAAATGTTTTTTGGTATTTTACAGAACCATAAAAAAACCCAGAAACAACAGAAAGCACTAGGGACCATGACATAGGTTGCTATTAAAAATTTTTTTTTTGCCAAGTAAGGATATTTTAAAACTGTAACATACTTGTTGCTATTTCAAAAGAGAGAATTTCTAATACTATGAAAAATAAGGAAAATATAATCTTAAAGTTTAAAATTTAATAAAGCTAGCTTATTTGAGTAAAATTAGTTTTCTTTTTCTTCTCTTTAAAAAAAAAATGTTTGCTTACCATGAGCCAGTGAAACACTTTGTCTTGGTTTGGTGTGTGGATTACTAGTTTAAAGTGATAATTGAAAACATAGAACATATGCTTGACACATACCAAATGCTTTTCATGTTTAAACTCAGTCTTACAACATTGTCCCCATTTTAGACCTGATGGAACCAAGCACAGAAAGGTCACGTGATTCTCCCAAAGTCATGTATCTGGTTTGTGGTAAAGCCAGGATCCTTCATCAAGACAAGTTTAGCTCCACATTTCATGCACTGGAGTACACCATACACACCATACCATACTGGCTCTCATATTTAGGCTACCCAACTCTGTGCCTCATCTAAGCTTTCATCTGAACATTCTTTACCCAGTGGTTATTGGCTATTTTCTGTGAACAAAGTGAAAAGGAAGTCCTTATTGGCCATATACCTACTTCGCTAATTTGGATTTCAAACCAGATAATAAAAATATAGTTTTGCTTTTTAAAGGAATGTGAAGTTTTTATATCAAATTTTAGAGTTATAATTGAGAATATAGTATTGGATGAATTAGTTGCTCCTGTGCGTTAATGAGCTTTTGTTGGTGACTTGTCATATAATTTTGGGACTAGCCTATATTTTCCAACTATAGATGAAAGTAGTAGTAAATTTCTTTCTGTAAATTTAATGAAGAATTTAGAATCTAAAAACTTTCAAGAGTATTTGTCCCTTTGATGAATTTGCTAATAGTTGACAACTTCAGTCTATTTTAAACTTTGAGAATTCTAAATCATAGCTATTTGTCATGGAACTAGAACACATTTGACACTGTTCTCCCAGGAGTTCTTCTTCAAAAGGCAAGGACTGTGAAACTGTGGTCCCTGTTTCTATGTCAGCAAAAGATCACCACTTTTTTTGTTTTTTTTTTTTATAAACAAAATTTTTTGATGAGTTTTTAAAAGAGGGGTTCTTCTGGTAAAAAAAAAAAAAAAAAGGCAACAGCAACACACTAGAGTTTGGAAGCTGCTGATCTAGTTCAAATCCTTAATTCTACAGGCAAGAAAGAGACCCTGTGTTAACTGACTTAGCCCAGGCCTCAAGAAACTCAACATTTGTGTTAATTATTCTTTCCGTTTACCAAAAGTCATTCAGATATGTTCTCACCTGGGAGGTGCATTGTATTCTGACCCACAGGGTGTTGCTCAGGTCATGATTCAGTCTTTTCAGTTGTCATCTTGTGCAGTCTTCAACGCCCAAATGCAGGACGTAAGTCCCGCCTGCTTATGGGAGGGTGCCTTCTTTTTTACCTGTTCTTTCTTTGACTCACATGTGCCTTCTCATTGTTCTCTTTATTTGCTAAAATCTAGAAAATTGATAGATGACAGTTCAGTAATGACAATAATAGTCTGACATGAACTACAGTGTTCTTCAAAGAGTTTTCATATCTGATTATCATTGCCATCATCCCAATACAGGGATGGAGTATTTTACAGATGAAGAATTGAGGCACAGAAGGCGAAGTGATTTGCCTAAAGTCACATAAGACATTAGTGGTAGAGCTGGAACTAGAACACTTAAAATACAGTGTTCTTTTTTCTATCTACCCTACTACATATCTTAATTGGAGATTTTCATGTTTTTTTAAAAAAGTAAAATATCTCCCCAATTTAGTATTTTGTAAGCTTTGCACATGTGAGAGGTTGAATGCTGTGATTAGGTTTTTATCTTTGTGTGAAGTGACAATTTGATTGCATATAAGTTTATGTAGATGTTTTTTAAAAATTATGGATATGGTCAGAAAAGCCATGGTAAAAATAGTGATTTTGGTTCCATTTAGCTCTAGTTTCTACTTACTCAAATTGTCAGTAATGAGTGTATTCTTGTTCCTGTAGTTCTAAATTAAGTCAGAATTCCAGGCTGTATTCTTTCTCACAGTTGCGTAGGGAAGACTAGCTCATTTAACACTGTAATTTTTGTTTGTGATGTTTGATAAATACAACTGGAGTAGATAGAATACAGCTTGATTTCAGCCTCTCCTCAAATTAGACTTTTTAAAGTTATTATTGGCAGATATTTGGCTTTTTTGCTATCTTCTAAAAGAGTAAGCAAAACTTTTTTTAATGAGAGGGAGAAATGATTCCCGATCACTTTTCTGATCATTACCATTTTTGAATAAGTCTTTTGAATTAAGATGATCAAACTGTATAAATAGTCCAGTAACTGTAACCCTTTCTTGTGGTTTTTCAGCACCCAAAGTTGTAGTTTTAATGCTTTATAGTTATTTAATATGATAAGAATTCCTTATCAGATACTCATTTTACCATTTATGTACCTATTTTTAAAATGACTTTTGTCCTTAATAGTTTGGGTTCCTTTGTTGTTTCTTCTGTTGTTATGTCTAGTGATAAAACCCATCTGTTTTTTTTTTAATGTAAAATGTAGTTTATGTAGTCTTTTTGGAATATAAAATTTCTTTTAGCTCCTAAGAGTAATTTCTAATTATAAGTTCAATCATGAATGTATTTATTGCCCTTGAATTTTGAAATTAAAAATTTTAATTAATGCTCAGTTATATTAAAATTTCATTTCTTTTGAGGTAATGAAATACATCAATTTGTATATAAGGGTCCCTTTCAGGTAATTTTTAGCTTTAATATAAAATAATCTTTGTGTGGTATCCTTGACAGTGTTCTTCTTTATACCCTGCTTATTCAACTATGAGCAGGGTTCTTTCTAACCCTGCTTGCTAGGAACCACTTCCATACATTGGGTTTGTACTGCCTACCTTGACTTTTTATTTGTTCATCCTTGTTTTACCTTCTGGTGCAGCACAATACTAGTTCTACCTGCTTCTGTGTAGCCAACTTAGCCTCAGGGCACATTTCTGTAGGCCTGTTAGTCACTCATTGTGAAGCATGGTTTCTAGGCTCCTTATCCCTAGCTTCGAGTTTTCTGTGAACCTTTAAAAGTGAGATACTAAGGGAAAGGACTTGCAGCTCCAGATTATTGGTACTTGGGAGCAATAGCATGGAAGCTTCCTAAAGGCAAAGTAACTCTTACCCAGCATAGTGCCCAGTATTTAATGAGTGACCATAAAAGGGTTTCTTTGAACTGAATTCTTATCCTGTGTAGTCTAGATGTAAATATATTATAGTAGTATGACCAGAACTTGCATAGATGAAAAAGTATACTTTAGTAGCATGGAGTATACTTAACCTTTTTTATTTTCATTTATTTATTGACTCCATTTTATACTTTTGCATTTGATTTCTTTGAGTCTAAATGTAGGAATTATATATATTCTAGTTAATTAAGTTCAACCCACTGTTTTTGTACATGCAGATAAATTTTTATGCAAACCAATGATAAAAATGTTGAACAAAAGAAGCCCGTTAATATATCTTTAGGTTGTAAGTTTATTAGAGAAGTTTGCATATAGAAATTTTACAATTAAAGTTAGAGAAACAGTTTTTACTACAAATATTTACTATAGAAAAAAGAAACTTAAACAGTTTATTATAATTGTTTAAAAGATAGGCATGGAGATTTTTCATCTCTTTAATAAAACTCAAAAACAGCATATTCTGAATAGTTGAATTTAGATATTTTTCATTGAAACTTTTGGCTGTAATGAAGTTACATAGATCACTGTAGTATTGTATTTTTTAGAAGCAATTAATTCACTGGTCTTTTTGTTCTGGTACTGTATATTTGTATTTATGCTAAAATACAACTAATGATGCAGATGAAATAGCAATATTTATGACTCCAATACACATTTTTGTGTGTATTATTCTTAATAGTGATTTTGGAATATTATGCATTCTAAATTGGATTAGATTACCAAAACATTTGCACTATATAGTACTTTATAATTTTGGTGATTTTCAAATCCAGCTAATGTTACAAACTTGGTTCAGAAATCTTGCTAACCACTGAGCAACCACTCAGTGGTAGTGTGCTTGACTAGCATGTGCAAGGTCCTGGGTTCAATTTCCAGCACTACAAAATAAAAAACAAAAACCCAGAATCTTGTTAAATCACTAATATACAGTCATAGATAAACAGATATTTAATTCAGAAGATACTTTTTAACTGATGGTTAACTGTGTCCAATAGGAACAAGAATTTGTACAGAAGCAACAACAAGAATTAGATGGCTCTCTGAAAAAGATCATCCAACAGCAGAAGGCAGAATTGGCCAATATTGAGAGAGAGTGCCTGAATAACAAACAGCAGCTCATGAGAGGTATGTGAACTCTCACTGCATGTGTGTATGCATAAAATGGTTCATCAGAACATTGCTGAGATGCATCCTGGGAAGTGTTTGAATGCTTTTTCTTTGCTTGGGTGATAAAGAGAAAGCTCAAGAAGCTTGTGGTAGATAAGAGAAAAAGACTTTTTAAAAATTAAGAAATACTACAGGATATAAATTCCTTTATGACAATAGAAATTAATAATAAACATACTTAAAACGGGCTGGGGATGTAGTTAATTGGTAGAACGCATGCTTAGCATGCATGGACCCTTGGTTCACTCCCCAAAACTGCAAAACAAGACAGTATTAAAACATGTTTCTATCCAGATAATGCTAAAAATGTATCTAAATAATTTTATGTGCACATTTTATATACTTTTAATTATTGGTATACTTAATGGCTACATGATGGAATGGAATTTTGAGTACTTATCCCCCTAAACAAAATAGCTTAGATTTTTTTTTTTTAAGATAATTAAATGGAATTTTGGTGATCCTAGAGAACGAATATTCTAGTTTATAGGATGCTAAAAACGGAAAGTGGTAATAGATATTGTTTTATATTAGTAACATTTTATTTATTGTTCAGAATGTCTGTATATGTGTCTGTTTATGTGCATAAGTAAGGGTAAATGTTAAAATGAAAAGCAATGTGCATTAGTAAAAAGCCAAGTGACATTTTGAAAATTTTCTTGTAGCTCGAGAAGCTGCAATTTGGGAACTTGAAGAACGGCACTTACAAGAAAAACACCAGCTGCTTAAGCAGCAACTTAAAGATCAGTATTTCATGCAAAGACATCAGTTACTTAAGCGCCATGAGAAGGTTAGTGAAAAGGAAAATTTCTTCACTTTTTTTGGTTCATTTTAAAGTTTATAAAGCTATTCAACATTGCAGTTTAAGTTTTTTAAGAGAATAAATTTTTGGTTTCCTTTGTATCTTTCATCCTAAAATTTGTTTGATGAAGTTTGGAGTAATTAATTGTATCTTATGATCATAAACTTTTCTATGAATTATGAGGAAAGCAGTTACAGTGTTTAAAGACCTCATCTGTTGGAAGTTCATCTTGTGTATCAAAAGTAGCTAGGGGCTCCAGTTGTGTAGATTCCCTCTATCTAGTAAAAGAGTTTCATTATAAGATTGTTACTACAAATAACTTGTAAAGGTGGGGGGCTTACCATTTTGCTGGTCACTGTGCAACAAGGAGAGAGTATCTCAGAGAAATAACAAATGACATCTTTGAACATGTGTATAGGTTCTGAGTAATTATATCTACACTGTTGGATTCTGTTTAATACTATCTTAGGAAACAGAGCAAATGCAGCGTTATAATCAACGACTTATTGAGGAATTGAAAAATAGGCAAACTCAAGAAAGAGCAAGACTGCCCAAGATTCAGCGCAGTGAAGCTAAGACTCGAATGGCCATGTTTAAGAAAAGTTTGAGAATTAACTCAACTGCCACACCAGATCAGGACCGTGACAAAATCAAACAGGTAAATAAGCAAATTACTCTCTTCTTTTTTAAGTTTTAAAATGTCAAATGACCTTTAGAAGTGCCACATAATTGGGTTGTAAACATTTAGTGCAACCTCGGGATTACTTCTGTTCACTTTATAACTCTAAGGTACGTATCTAGGCATATATCTAGGCTAGGCACATGGCATATATCAATTAATCTTACCAGGGTCGTGCCCACAGAGTGCAAAGCCCACTCTCCCAAGCCCACAAATCTTGGGCCTTAGGAATGAAATGACTTGGATTGCTTTTTAAGTCAAACTATGTCCTTTCCATGATACTTTAGCAGTCACAAACCTCATACAAATGAACTGAGATCACTAAGAAGTCAGGAGGATCAAGATTTTTAATCAGAATTATTCCTGCTTTATTCCTCCTTATCCAACTCATGGTGTAAAATTCAGCTATGAGTCACAGCATGTTATTACTTGCAGCTTTAGCGTATTGTATTTTCAGTTCTGTTAAATTCCTTAATTACACCTTTAGAATATGTAGAATTATATTGCTGTTAACCATAATTTATCTTTTGTTTGTCTTGTTTATAGTTTGCTGCACAAGAAGAAAAGAGACAGAAAAATGAGAGACTGGCTCAGCATCAAAAACATGAAAACCAAATGCGGGATCTTCAGTTGCAGTGTGAAGCCAATGTCCGAGAGCTGCATCAGCTGCAGGTTAGACGCAGAAGCGTGACAACAAGAGCTGCCGTAGATGGGCAGCTCAGGTGGCTGGTGTGGAGAAGATCATGCATAACTAACCAAAGTAAACTGCATGTTACTTACAAAAATGCTGGGATTAAAGCTGTGTTTCCTGTATAGACCCAAACGAAGATCAGTTTAGTGTCATTGGCACTTGTTTATATTTTACATAATAGTGATTAAAGTATACATGAAACTAAATTATAACCTAACAAAAAGTGGAGTCTTTCAGTAGCAGTATTGATTTTTAGTATATTTTGCAGGAAAGTTTTCAAAATGATGAAGGCAGTATTTTCAGATTTGGAATTTAAAATTTCTTTTCCTTTCAGAGGGACAGATGATTTTCTTCTGGGTTTTTGAAGAAAATGATAAATACATAGAAGTTTTTTTTTTCTCCTAAGAAATCTAGAGGTTACTTTAGAAAGTGCTGTTTTTGGACCTGACTTGGAGTGTGCAGCCTGTCTAATGTATAATGCAAAATGTTTAAAATTTCAGAGTAGTAAAGACAAAACAGACACTGTACATTTGCTTAATTTATTTGGGTAGAATACTTGCTGATTCCGCATTCTGGTACTAACTGGTAAAAAGGAAAAGAAAGGCCAAAACAAATTCTATTTATGTTCTTTTTAAATGCTATATTAACAAATCCAGCTTCTAAACTTACAAAAATGAAATTACTTATTTCATAAGTCTCAGTCCTTGGTTTTTCAGTAATAGCTTGATGTTTGAAGAATAATTTGTTATTTTCTTGTAAATTGCTTAGTTGATCTGAAATTTTTTTTAATCCAAACTTTATTTTCAGAATGAAAAGTGCCACCTGTTGGTTGAGCATGAGACTCAGAAACTCAAGGAGTTAGATGAGGAACACAGCCAAGAATTAAAGGAGTGGAGAGAGAAATTGAGACCTAGGAAAAAGGTAATTTTAAAAGCTTTACTTACAATGATATGTTTGGGGGTTGGAGGTATGGGTTAAGTGGTAGAGCACCTGGCTAGCAAGCATGAGGCCCTGAGTTCAAACTCTAGTACTGCCAAAAAAGGAAAAGGAAGTTATGTTTGTACTCCTCTGTCACCTAACTATTGGCTCTTTGCCTACTGTGTATTACAGTGTCAGGGACAAGAGATAGAGATGAAAAGATAAAATCCTTATCCCCAAAAGGTAAAGAATCTAGTGGAGAGCAATTATAAATTGGCTTCACTGTTGTGAAGGAGGTGAGTACAAGAGAGAGAGGAAAGGAGCAGAATGCATGTGGAAAGAAGGAGGGGTGCTGAAGACTGCCTGGAGAAATCAGGGAAGACTGAAGAGAGGAGGGTGCTTTTAAGCCAGGTGAGGTGTGAAGGACAAGTAAGAGTGTTTGTTAGGCAGATGGGCAGATTGAAGTGGAATGGGACAGTTTAAGTAGAGAAAAGAGAATGGACAAAAAAATGTGTGTAGAGAATTACAGCTAGTTTCCTGTCACTGGAGCACATGTGTGCAGTCGTATGTGGGCGTTAGGGAGGAGAAAAGGAAGAAAAATGATGACAACTGAGTCTGGACAGGCTGGCTGGAGCCACATCATAGTAGGCCCTTGAATGCTTTGTGCATTTAAAATAGGAATGGCTTCCTTCCTTCCTCTTCTCTTGTTTGTAACTTGACTCCTGCTGGCCTGGCCTTATTGGCTGACCTTTTCAACTATGATTCCTATCCTTTTGCTAACCCTCAGACCTAAACCTTTATCTTCTCATGGGATACCTGTACATCTCATGCATCTACTCTCTCTCTCTTTCTTTCCACCAATCAAGGAAATATGTATTTAGCTCCTACTATGTGCCAAAGCTTTGTAAGGGAAGTGAAATAAAAAAGTTCATTAGATTTTGAGTTTAAATTTTATTTATCGTTACATTTTTAAATAGGTAATACATTACTGTGGTTCAGAATTCTAAAGATTGAAAAGAATAAACAGTGACAAGTCCCTTTCTCCAGTTTCACACTTTGCAGTCTGGTTTTTACCTCAAGCCCCTATTTGAACTTGTTGACAGTAGTCAAGCTTGGTTGCTAATAACTAATCTTGTAATTGCATCCTAATTGTTCTTGTAAAGAATATCATTTAAAAAGTTCTGTACTCGCCTGGGTTTTGTGGCAATTCTATTCATTCTTTGTGCTCTCTCTTATCTCTCTTTCATTTTCTAGTCTTCTGAAATGTGGACCATTCCCAGTTTTAGACCCTGTGTTGTTCTTTACCCTCATGATACTGTGTGTCATGGCCTCAGTTGTTGTACATTTAAGGATAATTCCACAACTAAAATAGTAGCATTGTACAGAACACAAAATATTTTAAAAACTTTTTATTAGTGTATATTAATTGAGCACACAAAAATCTTGAAGGCATAGAGATGTGGGTTCAAATCTCAGTGCTGACATTTACTAATTAATTATGTCACTATTTCCTCATTTGTAAGTGAAGATGATACTGTTACCTACTACTGTTACTCAGAAGTTAAAAGAAGTCATGCATATATAACTACTTCAGTACTTGAGTCAGTGAATGATTACTATCACTGTAATTGTCCTTTAGTTTTATGATTGTTATTTATTGGCATTTATCAGTTTGAGCTTTACACTCCTATTTCTACTCAAGTATCATTTTGATGAAATGATAGTTGGGTCCTTTTTTGATCGCTTCACACATCTCAAACATTCTGCATCCCCTCTTCTTTTTTTGTTTTTCTTCATCACCGCCATATGCATTTGTCTATTGTCTTCTTCCATGAGAATATATGCTCCTTAAAAGCAGGAACATTCTTTTCATTCACTGATATGTACCCAGCTAATAGAACAGTTTCTGGCACTTTGTAAGTGATCATTAATACCTGCTGCAACTCAGCAGAGAGTAAACCAAACTTAGCATCCATCTCCCCTTTCTCTCCCTGCAGTCCCACTCACCATTAGACATTCTTCCTTTCATTCCCTTCTTTTAATTGACTTCTGATTAAGAGACTGGGTGATTTAATTCTGTGACACTCCACATTCAATCAGGTACCAGTTTTGTCTCCTTTCATATTTCTTCTTCTCTTTCTTATTGTTAAGTTACTACTTGCTAAGATTGTTCATTAATGTCCTCATGGGCCTTCTGCCTGTAATTCTCTTTTCTTTCTTCCTACTTGCCCACTATCACCAGAGTATTTATCCTCAAGAGCATCTCTGATGCTGTTGTAATTGTGCTGATAAATTTTCAGTTCTATCAGAGTATAATATAAATGCTGCACTTTGACTCTGAAACCTTCATAGTGCCACACTGGGCCACAGTCAACCTTTTTGGCTTCTTCTTCCACCACCTACTTTGCTCCCCAGTGCATGCTCCTACCTAGATAGAATAACCATTCATTCTTACCATCTCTACGGTTTCCTGCCTTTGTGCCATTGTTTCAGCTTCCCCTGTCTGGCATGCCTTCCCCATCCTGCCTATCAAATTCTTTCCATCTTTTATGAGTAAAGCTCATGTTTTTCCTCTTCTGAGTTCTTGTATTCTGCCATCTTTACTATACTTTATTTGAACTTCAACAATAGCACTTTTTCCTAAATAACTTGTTCACGGTCATTGATACCTGTCTTAGTCCATCCAGGCCACTGTAACAAAATATCATAAACTGGAGGCTATAAGTCCAAGATCAGGGCCCTCTTCTGGATTGCAGATTGCTGACTTGTCATTGTGTCCTCACTCAATTGAGGGGAAAGAACTCTCCACCCTCTTATAAGGGGACATAATCCCGTTCAGAGGTCTCCACCCTCTAATACCATCACATCCAGTACTAGGCTTCAGTGAATTCAGATATTTATCAAACACATTATTTTTTCTCTGTGTTAAGAAGTAGGTAAAGATGAATCTGCTTTAGATCTTACTTTACACAGCTTATAGTCCAGTGTGGAAGAAGAACATGCACATTAGTAACTAAGACAAAAGTAAGAAGTGGTAAGTGCCACGTGGGTGAGATATATAACGGTTAATAATAGGTGTCATTGGAGGGCAGAGTATGTGTCAAGTACATCATTATCACATTTAATCTTCATGTGGCATATCAGCTAGGTGAGTGGTATTGCCCGTTACAGCAGAGGAATCAAATGATTCAGTAATATAAAGAAGTTAAGTCACTGGCCCAAGTTACCCATTCATGTGACTGAGCTGCGTCTTACACCTGGGGCTGTGAAAAGCTTGTGATCTTAACTGTTGAGCAGTCATGTCTTCCTTCAGATGGTATATAGAGAAAGTTTATGGGCCAGTAGTTTTATCGTAGCTGCAGAGTAAATTCTGTACAGTATAATACCAGTGCATAACAGTTTCTTTGTCTGTTCCTTTTTAAGACACTGGAAGAAGAGTTTGCCAGGAAGCTGCAGGAACAGGAAGTGTTCTTTAAAATGACTGGGGAATCGGAATGCCTTAACCCATCCACACAGAGCCGGATTTCCAAATTCTATCCTATTCCTAGCTTGCATTCTACTGGATCATAACAATGGGAAGCATTCTGGGTCCAGTTTGGCTTTTTAAATATGTCATTCTGTTCTCTTCATCTTCATCACAGTCTGTATCACTCACGAAGACAATCACCTGCTTTGCCTTCTAGGTGTTTTTGTTTTTGTTTTTTAAAACAAAGATGAAGGGAAAATGAATTAAGACAGATACTAGGCCATGTTGGCAGAGTAGCATTTTGCAGTAATTCCCTAAGGTGATTTTGTATATTAACCTTAAATATTGTATTCTTTGGACACTGTTACCGAAAAACTGTTAGAGAAATATTGTTTAAAGTTATTAAAAAAAAACCTGTTACATCATTAAGTATTAATAAATATCTTTTTACTGGTTCTAATTTCTCAATGATGCTTAAATTCTATAGTTGGACCTCTGCCATAGAGTTGGAAAAATTTTCTTTTGGTGAATCAGCTCTCATAAAAAAGCTATGTGTTGCTCAAAATAGGCTATTGATTCAATAAATAAATATATTTTATCATTAAATAGGAACAAACTTTTAAAAGAGAAAAATTATTTCAGTAATTTGTCAAACATTTGCCTACTTAGGCAGGAGCTAATAATTGAGGTGCTAGTTTTATTAAGATAGTGCCTAAAACACTACATTTCAGTTACATCTGAAATAGGATTTTTCTCTTTGATCAACACCCTTAGCATTATAAAATTACTGCTCTTATTAGTACTTCATGGAAAATTTCATCCTAAAACATGTTATACAAAGTTTGGAAAGATGAAGAAACCTAGCTTGTAAATGTGCAAACTGGAAATGTAAAATTCATCATGTTAAAAGTAGTATAGATTTAGCTGTCCTATTTTATTTCCCAAAATAATACATGAGCTGGTTAAATGACTTTCTCCATCTTAACAATCTATTCATTTAAAACTCTTAGAGATCTGTAGGCTCTGAGTTATATTTATAACTACAATTAATCTTAAAAGAAGCATTTGTTCAGAATGCTTTTTTTAAAAGGATTTAAATTAAATAGCCACACATCAAAAATGTCTTTTTTGTTGTTTTGAGATGAGGTTACTTAAGTACATTTTGTTTTTATTTTGTTCCATGATTAAATTATTTACTTTGAGTGGGAAAAGCTTGAAACTTTTATCATCTGGTTTCTGACATGTGAAATTATTAATGAAATGTTCACTCCTAGTCCCTCTGAGGCTTAGAATTTCAACTGTGTGTCAGGTCAAACAGTATTATAAACTGAACTGTGGTGTGTGAGGCTGCACATTTGTAAATGACACTCACTGCCTTCTGTTTGCAACCTATTCTCTCTGAAGAGTGCTAGGTACCAAATTGTAAACGTTTCAATTTCTAGTTATATTACTTTTGGGGCTGGTGAAGATTTAGATGTATTGTTGTGGGAACATTGATTCATATTAAGAAAATGTAAATGTCTGTAGTACTTTCTTGCAGTTAATTTGAAAACTTTGGATGCTGAGCTTTATTTTATCAGTGAATTAAATGATTTAAAAATGCATGTGTAATTTTAATTTTGTAATTGTTTCCCTAAGCAGAATTTGCTTGGACAACTTTGTAGGTAGCCTTAACTTTTGGCCAAGCTTGTTTTTTATATAAATATATATACATATATATATATATACACACACACACACATTATGTATGGTTGTAAATTCATACACTTACCACATGAATGTGTTATTGTATGCAAAACTCTTAATGCTTTATTCTTAAATGCTGGGTTAAACTGTTTTGAAAGCCTTTAAAATATATATCTTTATAAATTAATATTCAGGATGATGATGGAAATTGTTTATATTATTATGATAAAAATGACAGCATAGTGTTGCCCTGTGTATTTAATGATTTGTTTGAAGAGGGAGGGGAGAAGGCTCTTACACCACTTTATTTGAGATTTTCAGTTTGTTGGCTTTTCAAAAATGAATACTTCTGTCAGTGGACATTTTTTCAGTATCACTTAAATAATTTCAGACCTAATGTGGTTGGAATAGTTGGTTCTTCCTGCTCCTTTCTATTTCGGAGTATTGAATCCAGGAAAGAGGCCTGAGCGAGGCTGCTGACACTCAGTCTTGCATCTCCCTTAAACCTGCCTTTCAGATTCACTGTTCAGCCTGAGTTTTCTTTCAGACGTTACCGTATTCATATGTGTGCAGGACTATGCAATGATACATATGTAGAGGGGAACATCCATCTCTTAATACTTCAGATATAGAAGTCAGTTCAAAAAGGGTTTTGTGATAGAATATGCTGTTTGTACCCACACTTCCTGCTTCTGGTACGGCCTTATAATCAAATAGATGAAAGTGATCTTTCTTGCATGAAGAAGAGGTGAGGAGTGAGTGAGGGGCACAGACTTCTTTCAAATCTAGAGTACAGTCAAACCTGTTCCCAAGTAGGTTTGTTTGCTGTTGGCAGAATGAACCATGTAGTGTATAAAAGGAATTTTCCTATGTGCACCCTAAATAGTCCCCTCTTCTCTTTTCCATGCATGTTGTGGACACACCAGACCTCCACACTTCTGCAGGTCTGGCTCCTAGAGTTCGGGCAGCAGGCTGCCTTTCCTAGTCCTGTCAGTCCAGGGTATGGATTGCTGAATTAGCTGCTGTTCTAGATGGAGTCACATGAAGCTTTTTCTTACCCTTTTCTATGGGGAACCTACAAGTTGGTTAAAAGGACATTCAGAGTGCTTTTACTTTGCTGAAAAGTTTGGCACCTTCCTATGACAGGACTCAGTAAATTATAATTAAATATAACCAGAACCAGAGCTACCTCTAAGTAGTGTTTCCTTAAGCACAAAGCTCTCAGGCATATGAGACCCTCTTTAATGGAGTGTCTCTGATTTCTTGAGCATCAGCAAGTTTCAGAAGTGGCTGTTTTTTGTACTGTTCCAGTTCCCTTGTAACTATATACTTTTTTCCCATGACAAAGACTTTCCTGAGAAGACAGATTATTAACTAGAAATATTGTCAATTAAAAGAAACAGAACTGGAGTGGAAGAAGAGAGTTCCAGTTCTAATAGTCTTCTGAGTAAGTAAATCATGCTCTTCTGGGAAATTATCTTTTGTAGGAAATGAGGTGATATTTTAATGCTTTTCTTACATAGAAGGCTGCTACTGTTGCTCTCCCATGGCTGATTGGTTTTGATAATGCTTTCAAATTTCTGCTTCGAAGCTTCAATAGTGTTTTATCAATTTTAAATATTGGCTGCAGTTTAAAATGTGATCTTTTGTAGTAAAATGAGTTCACGTGCTGAATTTTCAGAAAGAAACTTGTTTTGGTTATGCCACTTGTCTATTTGGGATCAGTCTGTCTTTTCAGTCATAGCATTGACGATTGAAAAATAAAGTTATTTCTTAATCTATTTTGGGAAGCAGTTTTTTTTTTTATTGAGAATCTTTGCAACTAGATTGTTCTGCATGAGAATACTTTGTAGCTTTTTTTCTTTTCATTCTAGTCATGTATTTTCAAACTTTCCATCCCCTAGGCCCTTTGACTTTCCAGTCTCACTCGTGTTTCTAGCCATCTGTGGTACACACACCCCCACACAAATGTGATTTTTAACTGGTAACTTGGTGGTGACCATCTTTCAGCATGCACTCTCTTCCTTTGGGAGGTGCTTAAAATGTTTTCATCAAAGTGGATGTATACATGTTTATTTTTATCCCCTTGGGAAAGAGTATTTTTCTCAGGTGTTTCAAATTATATGACCTCATTTCTGTTAAAATTTCTTTTGTCATTTGTCACTGATACTTCATACACAATTCAGTAGTCACCAGGCAGCATCATTGGCACAGTTCAGTTTGTCTGGAGGGAGACATCAGTGTCATTTTCTAATCTAGGAGCATTATGTACTAGTGAGCTCATTCTTGGCTTTTTTTTTTTTTTGTAATAAAACAAAAGAGGCTCAGATCCACTGCTATCCAGCTGAGGAACTCTCTCATGTCTCTTCGGGATTTTGTTCAGAGAAGGTAGAAAGGTTGAACCGTTACCCTATTTCACTTGGGCATGGAGCTCTATGAAGACTTGGACATTTTAGCAATAAATCTAATAATGGGAAAAATTCCTGGGTCTGATTACTCAAGAATCATTATTAAAGGGATATAATGCTTGAGCCCCAAAAGTTGTTAAAATGTAAAATCAGATACAGTTTTTGGATGTAACTGATGATTTTTTTTTTCCTTTGAGACAGCATTTTACTATGTAGCCCAGGCTGTGCTCAAACTCATGATCCTTCTGCCTCAGCCTTCCAGGTGCTGGGATTATAGACATGAACCACCATTCCCAGCCTGAAACTGATGAATTTTTTTTTTTTTTGCATTACTGGGATTTGAACTCAGGGTTTGTACCTTGAGCCATTCCACCAGCCGTTTTTCAAAGCCAGGGCTGGCTTTGAATCTCCATCCTCCTGCTCTCCGCCTTCTGAGTAGCTAGGATTAAGGCATGAGCCACCCGTACCCTGCTGAATTCCTTTTAAAAAGTTAGAAAGGCACATTGCTTTCATTCACTGTACACACAATAGTTACCTATTGTTTAGGCAGTAAAACAAGTTGCTTCAAATTCTGAAGACATATGAGCTCCCATATTGACTCCTAGCAGGTGGCTATCAGGATATAACAATGGGACCCAACACCATGTGATGGGTCTGGGTCTTGAGTGGTTGCTGCTGCAAGCAGCTGTTTCATACAGCAGAACTAAATTTACTTGTTTCCTCCAGGATGATATATGACATACTCAGAAGAGAGCACAGAAAATAATCCAGTCTTTCAGAAGAGTTAAGGTGTAGCAGTAAATTTAATTTAACCCCATATTTAATTATCCAGCAGTTGAGAGTTACAGATTGTAACAAATTTAACAAGTTGTCTAAATACAGCTTCTCTGGAATTTGAGTGTCCAATTTTTACCATGCGTTTCTTTGGGGTCATTTAGTATTTGTACATTTTCCCTTATAGGTATTTTGATGATCATTTGGTTTGTAGTCATGATTTCTTTGTCCAAGGTAAAATCACTAGGTTAATTAAACTTGTTGCTCACTTGTTGCGTATGTCACATCATTTACCCTTACAGAAAGCCCTCAGATACTGGGTGATATGTCCAGATGGAGTTAATAGTTACAGATAAAGGTCTGCCTGAGTGATTAAGAAAAATGCTGGACGACGCTGTGTCCCAAAATAAAACCAGCTTGCTTTTCTTGTGTTTGTAATAAACAATGTTAAGAGACAGGACCAGTTAACCCAGAATATTTTCTTAACTTTCTTTGTTCAGATAGTTCACATTAAACATGATATTAAAAAAGAAAAACTTTAATTGGAAATTTTACAATTGAGAGGACTTTTCATATTATAGACCACATACAAATGTTCTCAGACAGTGAAAAGTGCTTGAAAATCAACTGCCCCCAGCCCCATGCCATTTCCCAAGTGCGGAACAGAGGGTGATAACAGCAGAAGCCACCGTCCCCCGGCATCACAGTTCACTTCCCCTCTCCCCTCTGCCTTCAAGCCCGTCGCCCCTTGTCTATTTGCTGCATTCTAGTCAGTCTAACCTATCTATCTACATAAGCTCTAGCATGGACCTATGGGTACAGAGCACAGCCACGATCAAACATTCTAAGCAAGTGGGAGATGGTCTGCACATACGATGTGATAACTTAGAAACCTTGGTACTCCTACTGGGAAGTGAATTTCTGAATTTATCCAGTTGCAAGAGTAACTTCTCAGCCAACTATTTTCTGTGGCTAGAGAATGCAGAGTGAACGGGGAAGTAGCTGACAGCACAGCCTTGCAACAGTAACCAGAACATACCCCCATCAGGTGTCATCTCCCGGAAGGCACCCCAGCCCCGTCTTCTATCTTTTGGGCTCATTTTTTAGGCAATGCTCCAAGACTCCTAAGCCAACTTTTATGTGGTTGTCTTTCTGAGGTCCGGGGCCGCACCAAGTGCTAAGAAGCCAAGGAGCTCAGATCTAAACAGCGGAGAAGTAGGTCTCATCCTAAAGAGCTGTGACTACTCACGTCCACCCAGTGAAGCTGCATCAGGTGCTGTGTCTGACTGACTTTGCTCTGTGGATTTCATTCTGACTAAAACAAGTGTTGCTTGACGACCATTCGCCTCAGCAGCACCTGGACAGACTCCAGCTTTCACTCTGGAGAGAATCTGACACACGCGCCCATGTGTGTTGCAAGAACTGGTCCAGGGGCTGCACTGCTAAGGCTAGCTCATGGCTTGGTGGCAGTACTTCTCTTCCTCCGCCCAGCATAGACTTGGTCACCTGGAAGTTGAAGATAAGTAGGAAGTTGAAAAATATCCTGTGGCCTCTGGGGACTTTAATGACTACAAAAATGGCTTAAAGATTAAATCTTGCAAAACTATCAATTTATTTAAATTGATTACCCTATTTCATTTCCAGATTGGCTCTCCTTTTCCTTTCTGCACTGGCAACCTCCTTCCTCCCTAGCTAGCAATATGATTGTTATACAAATTATGTCCTTGGCAGCCTCTGCCTTGGCATCTGCCTGGGTTTCTCAGACTTGCCCCAACATATCATCTCTCTATTGAGTACAGCCTCCCAGGGCTCCAGGACCCACAGCACAGCACCTACCTTTGTCTCCTTTCTCTCCCTTCTGCCCTTGAGAGCCAGGTGGCCCAGGAAGACCTCGTGGTCCAGCAGGACCTCTGTCACCTAAAAAGACAGATGAGGTGAGCACAAGTCTCCAGTGTGGTACCAAACAAGGGGGCTGCTTCTGAGCAAGAGGTTGTCATTACACAGGATCCTGGTGGCTATTTCTCTGCCACCACTTACCTTTGGGTCCTGGGTTGCCCACCTCTCCCTTCTGTCCAGGTGGTCCTGGAATGGTTCCATAAGCTGCAAGGAGAGAAAAGACTGGCCTTAACTAGAGATTACCTGCAGCTTGGGAGGTCTGGTGATTTGTTCAAAGGAACACAGATAGTGATGGAATTTGGGTTTGTAAGAGGAAACAAAGTATGGGCTTGATCTGATTTTCAGCAAGTCAAGTGTGGATTTCGACGTTTTTCATGAGCCAGTGACTGGGGCAGGCCCCATGTGAGGCAGGATGGGTGCTGGGGAGGTAAAGGAGGGGGTGTGCTTACTTCGGAAGAAGTCCATGAGGTCCTCCGTCACATTGCTGTGGGCAGAGAAGACCTTGCTGATGCCAGGGGGGCCCTGGGGCCCAGGCTGACCTGGCGGGCCCTGGACAGTATAGGCCATCCCTTGCAGCAGGCCCTGACCTGCAAAACACCAGAGTGTGGGTACAGAAGGGAGGGGTGTCTCAGTGCCAAAGCTGGCCCAAGGGAGAGGCCCTGCAGATGTCCTCGTATTTCCCTAGGTGACTGGCACAGGCCAGCTGTGCACTTCTTCAAAGGACTTTGGATACACGATTGTGCTATCAGCTATGGGACCTCTTGGCTACAAGCCAAGCCTCGCCAGAAAGTTGTCATGGTCACAATGACTCTTCTGAGACCCAGAACAAGTTAGGCATTCAGGAAACAAAGTACCAAGACCCCACTGGGCCCTGTCTCCATAGCTTAGGTTTTAGTCCTGGGGCCTTTTCGCTCAGCTGGACCTCCTCTGTTTAGTCCCTGCCCAGCTGATTCCACAATGGCTATCTTTACAGCCTGGGTACTCCAAAAATGAGGGCTGGTCTCTGGTGCTTAGATGCCTCAATGCCCACATGCTCCCCTCATTGAGGCCTACGTGGCCCTACTTACGCTGCAAGCTCTCCGACACCCGCACAGCCAGCTCATTGTAGTCCAGGTCCCTAGTGAAGCCAGCCTGGAGTGATTCGCCACGGCCACCATACATGCCACCGCCGTCTGCTGCTGCCCCATAACCTCCAACATCAGTGCCATATGGACCCCCATCTCTTGCACCAAAGGCTCCATCTCCACCCAGGGAGCCTCCATTGGCTCCCCCTACACCCATGGAAGAGCTGTAGGAGGCACCCCGTCTGGAAGAGCTGCTACCCCAACTGTAGGCGTTCTCTTGTGATGCTAGGCGGCTGTCTCCAGGTGGACCCTGTGGCCCAGGAGGGCCTGGGGGGCCAACGATAAAGCTGCGCACATCAGGACCTGTGGGGTAGGAAGCTGCATGAACAGGAGCCCAGATTTTGGTGGGCAGGAAGACTTGGGAATTAGAGGGTCTCTCCAAGGTCCCTTCTCAGTGACAGAAGTGAACTTCAGGGTCCTTGCACAGGAAGCGAGAGAACACTGGTAAGGAGGAACTGGGCTTACCTGACTAGTACTGGCCCTCAAGTGTTTGCCTCTCAGGTTTCTTCAAGTGAGGGTTGCCACACTTATGGGGACAAGCAAGGTCTGGGGGGAGGGGATGAGGAGCACCAACCTCAGGGCACCTACTTGTGAGGTAGCTAATCAGCTCACTGCGGAAGTTGTCGCTGTTTTCAGCTGCATAGGTAGCCAGAGCTCCTGAGACACCTGGGGGCCCTCGAGGACCGGGGGGCCCAGGAGGGCCTGCAGGGCCTGGGATGAATGACAAGCCAGCAGCTGGACAGGAGGGAAGGGAAAGAAAAGGGTTGGGGTTATGTGGAAAAGCCAAATTCTCACCCTGGTCTCGGGCCACCCTGAGCCCCTCCTGGACAGAGGGGGATGTGCTAGTCTCCTTGGATGTGGGGAGGGGGAACAGGGCAGCCCCTTTCCTGGAATCATCTGGGAATAGCTTCTCCCAAACGCTCCCACTCCAACTCTGAGCCTCCTTCAACCCAGATCCTGTCCCTTCCTCCCAGCCCTTCACCACTGGGCACTGGTGCCCCATGAGCCTGATTACATCTGGCTCAACAGTTCTCCAAGGGCTGCAGCTGGGGGCTCTCCCAGCTGTCCCCCTGCCAAAGCTGAGAGCACCTCACAGCAAGTGTGTGTCTATCCAGAGCCCCAGGGCCTAGCCCTGCACTTGCTCTGGGACTGCCCTGTGACTGGTAAATTGATTCAGCTCCCCATGGCTACCCTTGCTAAAATCCAGGCATGCCCTCAAGGCCAGGCCGCAGTCCTGTGCCCTCCCCATTCCACTCCCCAATGCCTACTGTGCAAGTAAGATGAGAGGTCCTCCACACTGATGCTGGACCATGCATTGCCTGGAATCCCAGGTGGCCCTGGGGGACCTGGGGGTCCAATGATGCCTCTGTATTCAGACCCTAAGACACCAACAGAGAGCAAGGAGTCAGTCACAGCCTAAGCTGAGAGCTCTGCTTCATTCCAAACCACTTGGCCTTACCTCGGAGCAAGGAGAGGAGCTCCTCATAGGTTGTTCCCGGCAGGCCAGGGGGGCCTGGTGGGCCAGGACGCCCAATGCTGATCCCAGAACCTGGGGAACAAAGTCTCAAGTTGTGACGGACTGGTGTCAGGCAGGGAAGGGCAGGTGCAAATGCTCTGTCAGAGAGGAAGTCAGACACTGCGATCTGGGCAGAAGGGGGTCTGAGAAAGGGAAAGGGGTGGTAGGAAGGGAGGCAGAGAAGAGTGAGGCGGAGATGCTGTCCTGGCAATGACACCAAGGGAGATGGGTACTGAGGAGGCTGGTCAACGCTGCCCATATGCGTCCTCCTATGTTTGTACCTCCTGTGTGCACATGTACACGTGTACCGTGTGCAAATTCCTGCACAGGACAGTATACCCAGGCCACTCATTTTGGCCTCTGTTGCCATGCTCCTTGATCTACTCTGAGCGCACAGGTTTGAACAGCTCTGAAGGCCACCCCTACCGCTAAGTTTGGTGCAGTTGGGCAGGAGAAGGTCAGTGGAGCCATCTTGGCGAAGTTCACCCCCTGGTCCTCATCTCAGGCCCTTCCTGACCTCCCTGCTGCCAAGGTCAATCCAGGAGGGCAGACACTTACTCGACATGTAGCTGAGAATGCGGTTGCTCAGCTCTGCATAGTCCAAGGACTGGAGGGACCCATCTCCACTGGCTCCTGGTGGCCCTGGGGGACCCTGAGGGCCTGTCAGGTACTGACGCAGGTACTGAAGCACGTCATCCCCTGGGAAGGAGGATGCACTAGTATGGATCCACCTGGCCACAGGGGTGCCACACCCCACCCAACCACAGCCTGGTCCCCCTACACAGCCTGGCTCCTAAGTGACAACTGCAAGTTCTGGGCTCTCAGGCCCATACTGGACAGGGGAAATTAGCAAGCTTCCGGTACCTGCTAGGTCACCTGCCACAGGGGAGAGAGGAGCATTACTGTCCCCTTTCCAGTCTGTCTGTGACTTGGCAGGCAGGTTGGAGCAATGAGTATGTAGCTCTTTGTCCCAAAGGACTTTCCTCTGGGGACAGCCCGGATAAGGCTGGGCTGGGGACAAGGTGTGCCTGACAAGCGAGTCAGGAAAGAACAAGGAGGTCCCACCCTCAGCCCACTGCAGGTGACTCACGCTGCAGCACGGCCAGGATGTCTTCTGAGGAGATGGAGGCCGAGGTAAAGCTGAAGCCTGAAGCTGTGGAAAGAAGACCTCAGGTTACCTCCTGACACACCTGTTGTCAGCTGTTCACTCAGCATGGCCTCCAGCGTGGCCTTGGTTCTCCACTTGAACCAGCCCTTGCTAAAGCTGAGCTTCTGCTGAATGCAGAACTAAAGGCCACAATTAGAAGGATGAGGCAAACAACACACAGCACACTAATTGCTGAGGCTCTGGAACAAGAGTGGCCCCTTAGGAGGAGGGTGGCAGTGCACAGGTCGTGGGACAGGCTTACTTCGCAAGTATCTGACAACGTTGCTTGCCAGCTGTGAGTAGTCGAATGTCTCGCCTGAGATGGTGGTGACAGGCCCTGGGGGACCAGGTGGTCCCGGAGGACCTTGAACTCCAGACAGATAAGACCTAATGCTGTCACCTGCCAACAAAGGAATGAAGCAGTTAAGTCTGTCCCCAAGAGGGCCATGGTCATGGAGGTGACCTGAAGCACGTGATGAAAAGCCTACCCCACCCCATCTAGACTCCTTGTTACTGATGGAGAAACTGAGGCAGAGGTATGTGCTGGGCCAGATGGTCCATGAGGGTGTAGACTCCCATTTGACAAATCACACACAGGAATGGGGGAGAGGTGCACACATGTGCATGCATGTATGCATGTGGACCTCCAGTGGGCTGATGATGAGGCTGTGTGTGGACAGGTGTGGCTCACTGACTTGCAGGCCAGGCCCCATGGGTAGAAGACCTAGGCCTGGCTGCACAGAGGGCTCCCCTAATACACACCCATACAGTCCTCCCCACCTTCCCTCCCACTTGCCCTCTGCTGTATCTCAGCCCCAAGGCTGGAGGTGGCCACTACTCACTCTGCATGTACTCTGAGATGTAGTGCTGAATCTCCTGGCCAGAGCTGCTGAGGGAGCCTGGAGGCCCAGGGGGCCCTGGTGGGCCAGGGGGCCCCTGCATGTATCTGGTGCTTGAGGACCCCTCTGCAAAGAAGAGAAAACATCTTGTCTTGGCTTCCCCACTCTAGGGTCAGAGCCAGGCACTGCACCCCTACTCTCAGGAAGAGAGGCTTTTTCCATAGAAGAAGTAGGACAGTGGCAAAGAGAAAGACCATGTCTAGAGGGGCACAGGGATAGGAATTGCCTCAGGCCAAGCCCATCTTTCCTTCAGCAACCTGCTCATCACCTCACAGTTTTCCTCCTCTCTGATCATGCATAGCTCCAGGAGCCTGGTCTGTTCTCCTCAGTGCCCTGGCATGGTTAGTTATGTTTAGCAGTGCATGGGTTATAAACAAGGAGCCTGTAACCTCCTTGTAGGTAGCTCATGGGCCCCAGCCCATGGAGGAAGACAGAATCAATATGGAGTCATGGACAAGAGAATAAACGGGTAGGTCAACATCCTCATTGGAATGAGCAGACTCATTCAAGGGGAGGGGGAACTTAGGTCACCTTTGGTGCTTACCTCGAGAGGGACCACCAGGGAAGCCAGGAGTCCCTGGAACACCAGGATCACCTGCAATCCAAACCAAGAAGCTCTGTTTACATCCCCTTTTCCAGGAAGCTTTCCCTGGTTAAGCCCAACACACTTTTGTGTACTCAGCAATTGTCCCATGTCTGTTAGTCTCGTTTCTGCAATGATATCATGAGCTCCCTTTGGGTAGAAATTGTCTCTCCATATCTCTCTCCAACCTGTCCTTCCTCCCAAGCCTTGAGCACCAATAAGTACTCAGGGCCTTCCATTCAGGGCTGGGTTTTGGGGGTCAGGCTTGCCCCTGCTTCTCATCTCCTTAGCATTTCTTCACTGACCTTTGTCACCTTTGGGTCCCTGCGGGCCAGGTGGGCCTGGGGGTCCCTGCAGGTTGAATCCAAGAGAGCTGGAATCTGGAAGCCAACAACACACACAGTGCAGTCAGCCAGGGCCAGGAAAGGCTCTGACCAGAGCAGTGATGGGGTGAGGACTCCACACTTACCAGCAGTTAAGAGCCCTGGGAGGCCTTGCTCGCCTGAGGAACAAACCAAGAGGCAACAGTTAGTCTCACTTTTCTCCCTGTCCCACCCTCCTCCCTTCCTGGGGCTCCCAAAGATCTCTGACTGTTGGACTGGCACCCACCCCCTTTGGGCAGTACCTATCACACACTCACACACACCTGTACCCCACACATCTGCACTCACACACACACTGCACCTCACACACAAACATTGTACACATACCTGTTCTGCACACACCTGCACTGTATGCACACTGCATGTACAACATGCATAAATTCTAAGCCATTCCCAGACACGCATCTACTTTTGCTCATGTGGACCAAATGCACTTCCAATCTCAAAGGTCTTGCGGGTCAGCTCTTTCCACACACCCCCACCCCAGGTTGTGTTTGATGTCAGCTCTACTATACCTTGGTGTCCTCGGGGACCTGGGGGACCTGAGGAAAGGAGGCAGAGAGTGGTGAGATACCTACCAACAAGGTATTGAAGCTTTAGCTGGGTCCATGGAAAAGGGGAAGGGTGCTCCAGTGCTGGAGCTGACACAGAACCCAGTGCTCCTCATGCGTCTCCTTCCACCAGGTCAACATGGGGTGGGAACTCTTTGCAGAGTTTCTAGTCACCCTGCCTTCCCTACTCCTGTCCCATGCTGCAGGCTGTTGAGCTGCTAGTGGGACATGGCAAGAGGATAAAGAAATGTCCCTGCTCATCCAGACTCATCCAAACTCCCCTGGCCACTAGGAAGGTAAGCAGGGACACATATTGGCTCCTGGGATCCCTGAGACATTGTTCTCACCTTGGTCTCCCTTGGGACCTGGGGGTCCAGGTGGGCCTGGGGGACCAGAAAAGAAGGTTTCTGCAGAGGAGAGAAATAGTTTGAATGCAGACACGGTGATGTTTCTGAGCATCTAGCATAGTGCCTGTCTCATTGCAGATGCTCAACCAACACTTGGCTGGCTGACTGTAAGGGTAGAAGTTTGAATGAACGGTTGGAAGCTTGCATGGTTGAGAAGTTGGATATACAAATGAGTGGGTGAGTGAATGAAAAGATGGATGGATGGATGGATCTTCCACGAAGGAAAAGATCAGTGCTAACACTGGCTGTCAAGTTATTTCCATAAGTTTCTATGTTATACTGTTAACACATATCTTACCTGTCCTGTCTACTTTATCAGATGTGGGCTTTCTGAAGACAGGTTGACCCTAGTCACCCCAAAAGCTCCCCAAAGGTAGCTTCCCCCTCAGTCCAGGCTATCAGGTGGTTTGGTTGGCATGGTTTATTTTCCTCACATGCAGCAGGTGGTAGGAAGATTATGCAAACAGTTGGCGCTGAGGTGGGAAACAGGTGTAATTTGATGACACATTACCTGAGTCAGCCAGGAAAGATCCTGGTGGACCTGGTGGGCCTGGCAAGCCTTCTCCTAGAAGGAAAAGCCACAAGACTCATTAGTGGCAGGAGGTAGTCCAGAAGCCCTCTGCCCAGGAGGAGGAGGCAGGAAGCTTTTTCCTAAGAGCCATCCCAGAAGGTCTGGGTCCCCTTGCCTCCCACTTCCCCTCCCAGCAGGGAGTTCGGCTCTCACCTGGAGGGCCTCGGGGTCCTGGTGGGCCTGGGATGGAAGGTCCTGCAGAGGGAATGAGGGAGAGGAATGAGTTCACCCTGAGAGCAGAATCTGGTCTACTTTCCTCAGTACCTCAAGACCTCTGACCTTCAAGAGTCCCTATCCACCAAACATCCCTGAGATGCTCACCTGGTGGCCCACGTGGTCCAGGTGGACCTGGGGGACCTCGTAAATCAAGACCTTCTGTAGAGAGAAGAAAACAGAAACAAGAGAAAGTTATGGTGAGGCTGTTTTCTGCCATGCTTCTAACCTCTCACCAGGATTGCCAGTCTTAGGTACTCTGGACTACACTGACACTCCAGGGACCAGGCTCTGGGTCATGGCACAGGACTTCATCTGCTAAGGTACTTCTCCTCCCTGTGGGAGGCAGGCCTGCAAACTCCCTGGCAGCCCATATATGGAGTGATGGGTAGGAACCTGGGCTTTCTTGTCCAACAACCTGAGTTCAAATCCCTCTTTTTGCACATCTAGTTGGTGACTTGGGGCAACTTCTTAACCTCTCTTGGCCTCCATTTTCTCCTCTGTAAACCAGGGTCAGTGAGATGTATACCACAGGGATGCTGTGAGGACCCAGTAAGACACCACCTAATGCTGAGTCCCTAACAATGCAAGCACAAAGTGAAGACCTGGCCAGGGTTGGCTGCCATCTTTGCTGTCTGGCATTCTAGATGTCCAGGTGGGAGGCCCAGCTGCAAATCCAGCTGAGCTCTCCAAAGGGCTTTAGAGACAGGAGTCAGCCCTCCTGGCCTGGGCCTGTAGCTGAGAGACCCCGGACCCTTGCCATTGCTGGCTTTGACGGGGGGATGCACCACTCCTGCCAGTCATACTCACTTCTAAGGCCTGTCCTGACCCTGACCCTCTTGCAATCACAGATCCTCTCTGACAGCTGTCCCATCCCCATGACTGAACCTCCCAAGCACAACAGGTCCTGCTGTTCTCAGCTCGCACTGCAGTGCACAGGAAGTGGTCACCCTCACATTCGGCCCTGGCGATGACTCACTGGCACAGCTGCCATCTCCCCACTCCCGCCCCAGCATCACCTGCCCTGGAGAATGGCGGCACTCACGGGTGGAGAGGACCTCGGAGAGGGAGCTGCCACTGTTCAGGAACGATTCACCTGCAAGTCCTGGCTCACCTCGAGGACCTGTGGGGTGGACACAGATTTAAGGCGGGCACTGCCTGCACCAAAGGGTTCCTGCTTTCCCTCCACAGTGGGCCACAGGGGCCAGGAGCAGAGGTGGGTGCGCTAAGGAAGGCCCCCACCCTACAGCTGAGGGAGGGCGTGTCCTAGTGGAGGGCGGAAGGGCCCAAGTGGAGGTGTGCAGTGCCAGGCCCTCCACTGTGGACACTCCTATCTGTAGCTAGAGGACTGACTGCTTTTTGCTTTTTTTTTTTTGATATTTGGATAAATTACTGGACAGTGGCATGATTGTCAGGTCTGGTCATAAAAGGCCTGAAGCTATGAAAACGACTGAGCTCGATCTTGACTGGGGATAGAGCCTCAGTTCATCTGTCCTGAGGTTCCCAACCCTCTCAGAAACATGGAAGGGATAACAGCAGGTGGCTGCCCTCACAGCTAAGGCCTCACAAGGCTCTCAATGAAGAGAACTGGTGACCCTTCCTCTCCCTTTCCCAAACACACCTCCACAGCAGTCCAAGTCCCATCTGGGAAGAAATCCCCCTGACTAAGCCCAAGCCTGTGTACTTACTTTCAGTGCACAGGACATACCTTGCTGTCCAGGGAGACCAGCAGGGCCAGCAGGACCTGGAAGTAGGAGTGGGGAAGAAAAGGCAAAATTATGCCTCCAGAGTCACAGGAAGCATTGAAGAAATGGCAGTTGCCTGGAGATGCACTTAACTTCTCCCAAGGAATGGACAGTGGCCTAGAGGGTCAGCTTGCTTATCTTGAGAGCAATAAGCAATTTGAGACCAGCCCTGGTACTAGGACAGGTACTGGGATCCCCGAGGTGGGCAGGCCTATCCTCTCTGACACTGTACTTGACTGGTTAAGGAACCTCTGTGTGCTCCCACATTCTTCCTCTCATTGGAGCTTGTAAAGGCTGGTATATACTTGCATTTGAAGATAAATATTTTAAATAAATTAAAAATATATAACAAAATTATAGATGTTTCGGAAAAATAGAAAAAAATTCATAATTCTTTAACTTCTGAGCATCTTCTCTCTTACCTGCATGTTTTTTTTTGCATCGTATAAGAATATAGTTGCAGCCCCAGAGCACACATCATCAGGGGTCTTGCTCTCTTATATAATACTATCATATCCTCGAAGTTTTTCTCAAAAGTCTTCATATTTTTGTAACCATTCCATGCTGCTGGATGACTTGGGGATATTTGCCCTAATAGATCACCAGCATTTGTTTGCCTTAGATGGATAGTATGAAATTGTTTTCCAAGAAGAAACAAAGGGTTCATTCAAGGCCCCTTTGTGCTGAGGGTCACAACTCCGGAGGCAGAATGATCTTGATGGAATCCTTGCCCTGCTGTTTATTGACTGTCTGACCCACTCTGAGCCTCAGCTTCCCTATCTGTAAGCACTGAGAGCAGCACTGGCCTCCTCTGCTGTGAGGTAGGAGGACTGACACAACTCCTTGGCCCAGAGCACAAGGGTTTGGCTTTCTCAGGCCCTCCTTACTCTCTTTCTTGGTTCCTGCGCTTGGTTTCAGGATCTGAGCAAACATGGCAAGAATCCAACACAATCACAGCCTACTATTGATTGAGGAAAAGCAAAGAAATGGACTGACCTGGGGTCCCTGGAGGTCCTGGGGGTCCCATAGCACCAGGAGGTCCAGGGGGTCCGGGCACAGTGACCGTCGATGACCCTCCTGGAAATAGAAAGCACATGGAACACTGAGCCCCATTCCTACCACCTGAGGCACCGACATCTCCAGCATGCTGCAGGCTACAAGCCACGCAGGCAGGTAATTCTGCCTTTCCTTGCCTCTGAACGTCCTTCCTTCTCTGGCTCTTGACCCAAAGTGCTCACTGACACATCTCAGTCATACACCCATCTGCCCAAAAGGCACTTTTGGAGTATGTCAAGGTAGGTGCTCCACACAGACCACACAAGGCAGGGCCCTCCCAGCCCTGCCTACCTGAAGTCATGACTCTGCCTGGAGCACCAGGTTCACCTGGGAGAAGACAAGGAGGAGAGTGGTCAGTTTTGAGGTTTCTGATTATGTCTGAGGTACTTGTGGGCCTCTCACCCTCAGGCTGAAGCATTTTAATGAACAGAAGGGGGCCTACAGGGCGCACTGAGCAGTCTCTCAGGCCCAGGCTTCCATCTTCTCTCAGAGAAGGGGCTCCTTTGGAGAGTGTGTGAAACTGCCCTTCAGTGAGGCTGAAATAAGACTGATTTGTGGGCACTTCTCATGCCCACACCCTGTCTTCTCTCTCAGGTGGGAGAAAATCACCCAAAGGTCAAGAACAGAGACTGTAAGTCCATGAGGCAGAGTGGGGGGTCCCAGCGTACTGCTCAGAACTTAGTTTCTTGGGATGGTAGGAAGGGTTGTGCAGAATGGAAGGGGGCTGGGTGGCTGGAAAGTTTGAGAAATCCTGATTTACATGAAGGTCCACATCAATTTCCTGGCATGTGTCTCCAGTGTTGAATATGCAAATGTGTAAGAACTTCCAAGAAGAGGATATGGGATGCATATGTCCCCAGACATATCTACCACCAGATGTATTGCTCAGCTGACAGTCTGTAGTCAGGCTTGGGTGAACCAAAGGAGTGGAGTAGGGCCTGGAAAAGCCCCTCGGGCTGGGGGTATAGCTCAGTGGGAGACTGCTTGCTTTCCATGCAGGAGGCTCTGGTTTAATCCTCAGGACCTATGCCTACCCTCAGAACCCCTCCACTGCGGATACTGTAGGCGACACTTTTTTCCCTGCTGAAGATCTATGAACAATTAAATTACACAATGAGAGGATGATATTGGTTTTCCCTTAGGGAAAGCAAAGGGTTAGCTTTTGTTCACTTTCCTCCACAAGGAAGGAAGGGCTAAGACAGGAGAGGGCACTTGAGTTTGTTTTGTTGGAACACAGTCCAACAGTTGGTAAGCTGTCACCTCTTTGGACCTTGTCCAGGGAAGGTCTGAAGTCCTCTTGGACAGGAAGTCACAGAAGAATAGAGTTTCTTGTATCCTCAGAATATCCAAACCCATGAGGCTTTACTGAAGGGTATCATCTATCCACTAACAGACTTATTGGGCCAGAGATTTATCTGCCTGGGAAGTATGAACTCAGTGGTCATTGTTTTAGGGTTATGCTTGTTTATCCTGAAAGAACTCCTTGGTCCAATTGGTCACTGGAAATAGTTTCTGAGAAGTTTATTTCTAGTGTCCCAGGGAGGGTGACAGTGAGTGCTCATGACAGAGCACAACTCCAGAGAACCAGGGTGCAGGAGCCTGGGATCACAGAGAAAGAAGGAGAAAGACTATTCTTGAACACTGTGTATCCCTGGGCTTGCTCAGGGCTGGGGTCTCATGAGCAGAACTGGAATAGAATGCCACCATGCTGTCTGAGCTAGACCTCTGTGAATTATTTCCCCTTACTCCTTTGACCTTGCCGTCTGCAGGGTGGTAACCTCCTCTCTGCCTGTGTGGAGCCACAGGAGGAGCTGATGAACCTGGCATACTGAGGTCCATGGGGAGGATAGGACCAAGGGTAGCTCCTGTCACCAGGGAAGACTAAGTGAGGGGAGCATTTTAGAGGCAATCAGGGGATGGGAAGCTTTGGGGCGGTGGGCACTCTTTCCCGTCTTCTTGCGCAAAAGGCCTGGAGATATGAAAGTGAGGCTCAGGCTTGGGGGTGGAGCAGTAAGGGGGTGGGGACAGGGACCTGAGAACCCAGGGCCCGGTTGCTCAGCACAGATCCCTGGTCTTCTACCTCTCAGCCTTCTCCCCGAGCCACTAGATGCCGCTGTTGGTCCAGGCTCTGGCCAGAGAAGGGCTTGCCAACCCCTCCCTCTTGCAAACACGATGAGTGGAAAGAAAGAACACTTTATTTGGAAAATCACTTACCTCTAGTCCCTGGTCGGCCAGGGGTGCCAGGAAGTCCTGATGTGATCAAACACAAGTTAGTCAGGATAATTAAGGCCCAGCAACTCTTCCCCTCCAGCAGTAACCAGAGCTCTGTACTCAGCATAACCCTGAGACCCAATCAGCCTTTAGCTTCCCTGCTGGTGGGGATCTTCCTGAACCTTGTCCTTCTCTGGGAAATGGGGCAGGAAGAGGCCATGGGCTCAGCTCAGGATGAGGTGGGAGCACCTCTGGGCCCTCTGGGTTGTGAGATCCTGGTGCTTGAAAGGCTGCCACTGTTCCCCTGTCCCCTTAGACTGGGAGTGGTGTCCAGAGTAGCAGCATCTTCTTGCTATACTACTGAACTTTTCACCGGGGAGCATTTGAAGGATGTCAGCTTTTGGGGAGACTGCTGCTTGGTCCATTTTTAAATCCTTGCTAATTTCCTTTAGGAAATGAGGGGCTGGTTGGGGTAATGGTTTCCTAAACCCAAATGGGTATCACAGGATGGGTTTTTAACATGGAGTCTGGCCTAGAGAGAAGGAGTCCTCAGAATAAGGGGAGCACCACATTTTCCATGCCTCTATCAGCTAACAGGACTCCTGTTAGTGTGGCTAACAGCAGTGGCCCCCATGGGCTTGGGTCTCCTCCCAGGCATTCCTGCACCAGAGAGGAACAGAGTAAGGCAGACAGAATCAGCACCATGATCTGACCTCACTGCTACCACAATGGTGTTCTAGATTGTTCTGTGCATGTCTTCCTCCCTACGGTGCTTGAGGGCTCACAGTGACAGGACCAGAGCCCAGTGTTTGTTGGGAAGTGGGGGAGGAGAGGACACTCTCAGGTGACTGGAGGAAAAGTACTGACCAAGTACTGGTCCAAGGTGGGAGGTGGCAGGTGGGAGTGATTTGATAACTTACCTTGAGGTCCCTGGGGTCCTGTAAGACCTGCCAAAAGTAAGGCACAAGGGTACAAGGGTTAAGAGCAGAAGGATGGGCCATACCTGAGGAGCCACACCCTCGCCTACAGGAGCAGATGGGCACTCGACAAGCCTCACACTGGGGAAAGCCAGGGTCCTCCCAGAACTTTGTTGAGAGCAATTCTTTAAATTTTGCAGTGAAGTAACCCACTGCTCCATCAGGTGATGGTTCTGAGGTTCTTTGGGCTTGTAGATGCTTCTGCAATCTGAGGAGAGCCAGGAACCCAGAAGACACCCAAGGACACCTAGTGCTGACCTAGGCTCTTTCTCTTAGTGCTCCCCCTGCATGCCAGCCAAGGATTTGGGGGCTCCCATGTCCTCAGCAACCCCTGATGAGGGGTTACCTGCTGTGACCTCACAGCTTCCTGGCTGGTTTTGATTTGTTCTTCCACTAGTCCTGCGAATCCCGCTTTCGTGTGACCCCTAGTGGAGATTCTAACCAGGGCTTCTCTCTTTACTAAGTGTTGGAGAGGGTCCAGGAAGAACCTTAGGAGGGGAGAACAGAAGGTACTGGCTCAAAGGAGTAAGACGTTGAGCTGGTGTTCAAGTCTGCAATTTTAAGAGTACCCTTGTCCCTTTCTGAAACTCCTTGCTTTCATCTTTTAATCCCTCTCTTCCAAATTGCCAAACTTGGAGACTCCGTGTTGCCTGGGCCAGTAGCTGTTCGACCCAGCACAACATGGTAAGGAGAGTTCCCTGCTGAGTTTCTGGAGGAAAATGGGATAAGGCACATGCGTGTGCACACACACACACACACACACGCACACACACACACAGAGCATCTGCCCAGCAGGTCCCCACACACCTGAGCACACCCATCCTGCACACTCACAGGCACGCATACACGCTAAGCAGGGTTACATCTCCCTCTTCCTGCCTAGTTACCTGGCTTTCCTGGATCTCCAGCAGGTCCTGGTGGGCCACGGGTCCCAGGCATCCCTGTTAGGCCTTGTTCACCTGGAGAGAGCACAACCAATGAGAATGCCTTTCCCTTAGGACAGAGGACCTGCCAGCCCCGCAGGGCCAAGGACTGGCTGGCGGGTAGGCCAAGGAAGGGAATGTCTCCACATGCCACATGCCCTTTTGGCATTATCATGAAGGGCGTGGAGGTGCATGCAGGAATGTGAGTAGGGCAGGGAGAAGAAGGCAGGGGCAGGTGGTGAGAGTGAAGGCAGCAGAGCAGTGTGACCAACCTCTTGCGCCTTGCTGTCCATCGGGGCCGGCAGGGCCTGGAAGAGCAGAAAAGCAAGGTCAATTACTCTTGGAGATGTTCCTGTGACTCTTCCTCTCCAGTAGCCACAAGCATGCGGTCTCTCAGGTGGAGAGCCCATGCTGCCCTTCTTGTGGTCATCAACTGCAGGAGAAGCCCTGTCATGGTGACACCTCTGGACACAGCCTTCTCCTTGTCCCTTTTTCTAAGCCAGCAAGGTTTTATTTGGCTGCTCGAAATGGTTCGGGACTCCTTATCATCACAAGAACCTTGATACTCGTAAGCATTTGCCTCATTTACTTGAGGTCCTGGAATTCAAGGCCCACTTGTCTCTTGTCCCTCTGCTCTAGGCATCATCCTAACCTCCATCTGGGGTAGTGTCCTTTTGGCACTGTGTCTTGCTCTTCTCATCTCTTTGTCTTACTCACATCGTCATTTCTATGTGGCCAGTTTTACAAACTGGTCATGATGAAAATCTTTCTAAGTTTTTACAACCATCTGAAATGCCACCTCCTCCATCCTTCTGGTTGGAAGAAATCTGACCCTCAACTATATCCTCATAGTACTTTGTACCCTTCATGGCCCCTGTCCCCTCTTGCAAGCTCTGTCTCCCCTTCAGGAGGTAAACAGTCTTACTTGCTCAGTATCTTACTCATCCTACATACAGTCGGTGCTTACTAATGGTTGGTTAACTGAGTGAGAGAGAAGATGCTGTATCCCCACTGGAGGGATGTAAGTCCCTCTGGGAGTTGGTGCCCAGGCCTGACCGACAGGCATCTCAGTAAGAGTTGGTCAAAGGCTAGCAGCCTGGATTTGGCTGTGAAGCTATCTCAGGAGGTAGAACACTGGGGATCCCATAGGACCTCAACTCTTATCTGTCCTTGGCTGGCAGACAGGAGCCAGCGTGGCTGGCCATGCTCTGCCCAGCTAATCCCAGAACCCCTAGAGAGCTTCGGCTCGAGAGTCAGGAGAGATGCCCAGCCCAGACTAACCTGTAAAGGGAGACTTGCCCAGGGTTGGGCATGGGAGACAAACAGCAGGAGAGGCAACCCATTTGAATGGGCAGACCCACTGTATCTGCTCCTTTGGGCCACTTACCCATTGCTCCTTTGGCTCCAGGCTCACCCACGGCCCCAGGCAAACCTCTCATGCCAGGCTCGCCTGCAAAGATGAAGGAAGAACTGATTAGAGACTGACAAGCTACATGTACCCAATGGTGCATGGCTGGGGGGAGCAGTGCTGTGTACTTTCTGCTACTTTGGAAATCGCTTTTAATTTTCCCAAGTGGATTTCCTGAAGGAATAAGAGGCAGCTATAAACTCTCCTTTCTGTGCCTCTCAGATACTGTTTGGATTGTGTATTTTGATGCTTGATTAGCTTCCATTCATAGCTTTATTTTATCTTTGCTGTGCCTTTTCTAGACCACAAGTTTCTTGAAGGTTTTAAGACAGAGATTCTGTCTATCCTTCTGTACTTTTCCCACTTCTAGGAACTGATACACTTAAAAAAAAAAAAAAAAGGTCATGAATGGATTAGATTCCTGTGTAGGACTGACCTGTGAGGCCTCTGGGTCCTTTCTCACCATGGTCACCTAAAACAAAAATGGGGAGGAACAACTATCAGTTGAGAGCAAGGAAAACAATCTCCCCCAATAACAGAGACTACCCCTTCAACCCCCCCGCCTCCAGCCAGGCTGCAGGATGGCTGGCATGGATTTATGAACTCCTGGCAGGAGGATGCTGGCAAGACATAGCATTGATGAAGCTGGAGAAACCAGAGGAGCACATTTCATCTCATGCAGGGGCAGGTCCCACCCATAAACTGACCCCCGTCCTTGCTGTGGCACATGTGGGTACCCTGGGCTCAAGTAGGACCAGACCAGAGGACAGACACCTCAGAATGTACATCCTCACTGCCCCAAGGTCCACTCAGCAGTGGTTATGTGACGTTGGCACATTGTTTCCCCCTTTGTGCCTCAGTTTCCTATCTGAGAGACTGGAGAAGAATGAGGCTCTTGGCTCCTTCTCAGTCCTAGGTTCCAGGAGCCAGAGTCATGTGTGCCCTTGGACCCTGAGCTAGGGATGGCATCTGGGTACCCAGGAGTGCAGCGGACCATGGTGATGAATGAGCATTGGTGAGAACAGTATACCTTTGGGTCCTGGTGGTCCCATAGGTCCTTTGTCACCTGAAAAGGAAGTAGACACCTAGTATAAAGAGTCCTGCAGGGAATGACCAAATAGGGTCAATGTCTGTCTCTGAAGACAGCTCTTCTTTTTTTTTTTTTGTGGTACCAGGGATTGAACTCAGGGCCTCATGAATGTGAGGCAAACACTAAACCACTGAGCTATGTCCCCAGCCCTCACCTCCCCTTCTTGCACTTGTTAGCTACATGGGTTGTGGGTCGTGTCCATCAGACCCTCTCTGTCCCCCGAGACTTCCTTCTTGAGAGGCACTCACAGGGTGACATCCCCTTCTCCCAGTCCCTCCACAGCTCACCTTTGACACCAGGAAGTCCCACTTCACCTCGGAGCCCTTGGAGACCCATAGAGCCTGCCCAGCAGAGGAAGAAATATAGGTGGATGAATGTCCACCATAGAAGGGACAGACAAACATTCATGCACACACACACACACACACACACACACACACACACACCCCACTCAGGTATATACACACAGAAGCACACATGGCACACACACATGTACACACACCACACAGGTGCACACACACACACACACCTCACTCAGGCATGTACACACAGATACAGACAACCACACAGGTGCACACACAGATGCATACACACCACTCAGACACACATACATCACCCAGGCACACACACCCTGGAGTAAAAGTCAAGGGCTGCTTTTCAGGACTCCTCCCCACATCCTAGTCCGGGCTCCTTGCCCCTGCTGGTGACCTGGCATTAGAACATCTCATAGGACCCTGGCAGAGACAACAGCTGCACCTCAACATTTTGAGGACAGCAGGATGAGCTCCTTGACCCACAGTGGACAAGACAGAGGCAGCACTTGCTTGGGAACATCCTATTGCTGAAGCTGCTGGAGGTCTCGGCCCTGTGTCAGGTCAGAACAGACCAGGACAGTACCCATCAGGGTGCTGAGCTCAGATGCAGGGGGCACAGCATGGAATGGAATTTTGTGTCTCCAGGAGGCTCTTTCTGTAATTGCTCTTTTTGCTTTAAAAGTGTTTCTTTTTTCTTTTTTTAGTGGTACTGAGGTTTGAACTCAGGACCTTGTGTTTGTTAGGCAAGTGCTGTACCACTTGAATCATGGCTCCAGTCCTTTTTGTTTTAGTTATCTTGCATTTTTGCCTGAGGCCAGCCTTGGACTGCAATCCTCCTCATCTCTGCCTCCCAAGTATCTGGAATTATAGGCATGCGCCCCATGCCTGGCTGGTTCTCCTTTTAACACCTTTCTTTGCACCCCTAAGCAGTATTGATTTATAAGAAGCAACATACTGACCTGGGGGACCGTGGGGGCCAGGAGAACCACTGGAACCTGGGGAGGATGAGACAATCAGTAGAGGGCAGGTCCAGGCCAGGGGCATCGAAGCCCAGGGTGAAGGGCAGGTGGGAGTGGAGGGAGCCCACTTCCAGGTGAGGGCTATGTAGGTTCATGTTGCCCATGTGGTGTGGAGACTTGGCAGGATTCCACATCAGAGGGTCTAGCAGTAACCCCAATGCAATGTCCTCCATAGGCAGGAGGCTGCAGCTGGATGGGGTCAGGAGATACTTGCTCCTTTCTGGTCAGGAGAAGACATTTGGGCTGGGGCAGAGGTCAGGAGGGGTGATAGCCAGATGGGCATCACACCACGAGAGGGGCCCATTCTCCCTGTGTTCCAGGCCTGAGGCTTTCTATGTGGGTAGCTAGGCCCCAGTGAGCAAAGGAGATTGTCTGACTTCTGATTTCCCACAGGATGCATCTACCTGCTTAGGGACCACAAAGCATAGCCACCGAATAGAGATGGAAATGTGGCCCCAACCCACACTATGACACCAAAACTATAGCCCCAGTCTTCACCCTGAGGTTTCCTTTGTGGGGAGACACTCCGTGGGGGGCACTCTATGTCCCACATAGACCTCGGGCAGTGGGCCAGTGCTGTCTGCGACCATAGGGCCTGCTTCCCTGTGATTCATCCTGGACGTAGCCCCTCCTTGGTGAGCTTGGATCCTGGGCACTTGACATACCTTTGGGACCCACAGAACCTGGGACGCCGGGAGGACCCTGAGGACCAGCAGCTCCTGAGGAGAAATGGAGGGAGAAGAATTTGGAGAGAGTCCTAGAAAGTCTTACCCCACCACGCCATCCCACCAGCCCTGACAACCCTCTGCTCTCCACCTTGGCCTTGCTCCACTCACCACCACACTCTGGGAGGCCATTTCCCTGAGACCTCTTTCTCTGGGTCCCAAGCATCACAGCCTGTTTCTTGTCCCTTGGCCTGGACCCAAGTCCCATTGTTAGTCACTGTCCCCACAGGGCCTAGCACAAATCCTGGCTCAAGGTGAGGGATCAACTAATGCTACTGAAGGAAAGAGGGCAACTGGTAGAAGAAGGACAGATGTAGCTAACCCTCTTGGTGAAGGAATCACCTCTTACCTCTGTCCCCTTTCTCTCCAAATCCAGGAGGCCCTGGTTCACCACGAGGTCCCATGGGGCCTTCTCGCCCTCTCTGGCCCATGGGTCCTTCCATGCCAGGATCTCCTAAAGACAGGAACGACCAACCTCATGTTTAGGGTCCCCTGCCACAGCCAAGGGCTCCACAGGCAGCCTCTTGCCACAGGCAGAACACTGACCTGGAGCCTCTTCCCTGCCTGCTCTTTCCTTGGCCCCCGGAATCTCAGCTCAGCCAAGAAGCCAGGGTAACCCTTAGAGAAGGTGGATGGATCCTGTGTCACCTTTGCCCCAAACCTGCAATGGCTTCTTAGCTCACTCAGAGTAAGTGCTCCTTGCACTGGTCTTGGGGGTGCATGTGGGGCCTCCTCCCCTCAGCCTCTCCAGCTTCCAACCTCCTCTTCCTAATGCTCTTTTAACTTGCCCTTGGGGCCTTGGCCCTGGCTGCTCCTTCTGCTTAGAATGTTTCCCCAGGTCACGTGCCTGGTTCCCTCTCTTTAAGTCCTTTCTCCCGGACTTTCCTATTTAATCCCCTCCTCCACAGCTCTGACTCTCAATGTCCTCCCAGTCTTTCCCATCTCATGCACCACCCCTCCACCCTGCTGCATACTTCTTTTATTTATTATGCTTACTGTCTTTCTCCTCAACCCAAAAAATGTGAGCTCCACAACAGCAGCAGGAGTTCATACCCCTGCTGTTTCTCTGTCGTGTTCACTGCTGTCTCCTAAAGTGGTACTGGGCACATGGCAAGCCCTTAATAAATGTTTATTGAATGAATAAATGGGGGGGAATAAAAGAATGGGAAAAGTGGCTCTTACCCACGCTGCCTTTTTGTCCCTTTGGTCCTTCTGGACCAGGGTGGCCCAAGAGTCCAGGGACACCTGTGAATACACAAGAAGACCTTAGCCCCTGTTTAGGACCGAACAGCCCCAAACCAGCAGTACCAGGGGTCTTTACATACCTGGTGTCCCAGGGAGCCCTCGGTCTCCTGCAGGGAACAAAGGAGAAAGATGTCAGCCAGAGGATCTGGCTACATTCCCTAAGGGATTCAGGTAGCATTGCCAAAGTGAGCAAATAAAGCCATAGATGGCCAGTTATGTTTGAATTGCAGATAAATAACAAATACAGTTTTAGCATAAGCATGTCCTATAAAATTCATACTTAGAGTGAAAAATTAATTTATCTATAATTCCAATATAACTGGGAATCTTCTATTTTACTTGACAATCACAGGTTCTAGGGCTCTAGAACCATCAGTCCCCATCCTGGACAGGGTCAGTGGGCTACAGGCTGGAGCCTTGGGGAAGAGGGCCTGGGCTGTCACCCAGTTTGTGCTGTGGGGAAAGAGAAGGGTAGATAAGGAATCATGAAGGGAATGAAGAGAAGTGGAGGACCACCAAATGGAGAAACCTGATTCCTAAAGTGGGGTCTCTTGGGAAGCGAGGTGGAGCTGGGGATAGAAGTGACCCTGATATTTGGAATGGTGGCTCTCAGTATGGACCATGTAACACTGGCCACAGAATCACCTGGCCCCATCCACACCCGCTGAGTCAGAGGCTCTGGAGTGGGACGCAGAATCTTCCAGTAATTCTTATACACACTGGCGTTTGTCAATCCCAGTTAGACACATCAAAGGAAGCTGCTCTGTGTCCAGTGAGGATCGCTGGGGTGAAAAACCTCCTCTACTCCCTGTGCACTGCGTCGTGGATTGTCAAACTGCTTTGCTCAGCATGAGATGCATTTTTTGACTCTCGTTGCTTGCTTTAAGCTATCAACCCTCACCAATATTTAAGGTAAAATATCTATGGAATATTTACCTTTAGGGCCTTGACTTCCCATGTCACCTAAAACCAGAAAGACAGAAAAACTGAGATGAGTAAGAACCCAATGGCTGTTCTCTCCCTAGTGTTTCACAGCCATTTGATAACATGTGAACCATATGTCAGAGTGAGGTCCTGACAGTGTGTGTCCATCTGTTCCCATCTGTGGCCCTTGGGCCTCTTCTAGATCCCTTTTCCTGCTAAGATCTGACTCTAAAGCCAATTCTCAGCTTCCCAACAGATCTGATAATGTCATTCAAGCCTCTCACCCTTCCATTTGGAAAAAAGAGACAAAATTTTCCTATCCACCCAGGACCCCTGCCTCCAGCTGCAGGAATGAGTAGGGGAAGGGTTCCGTCCACCACTATACCTTTAGGGCCAGGGTTTCCTCGGAGATTTCCTATAAGAGAAAGTAAATCTCCAGTCAGTATCACATCTTTTGTGTCACTTTTGCATGCACAAAAGGGCAGTGGGAAGAGACGGAGGCTAACAAGAGGCATCAGATTCCACATTGGGCTGCTGTAGTAGTCTTGGATAATTCTCCTCTCCAGGACTCAGTTTTCCCAGCAGTGAAATGGGATCCCAGTTCTGGTCCCATCTGCCTCTTAGGGTGACGGAGAGAGAGGATTGGAGGAGGAGAGAGGTTGAGTGTTCCCAGCACACATACACATGTCATCCAGACACAGAGCAGCAGGTGTCTCTAGGTGAGCTGGCCTTGCACCCACGTACTCTCACCATTTTCCTGTTCCATCATCAGCTTGTTCCTGACGAATAGCCAGAGCGCCTCTTGGCCTGGGCCATCCAGCCCGGCTTTGCCCTCGCCTGTTCCTGCTCCAGGTGCCACACCCTGGAGGCGGTCCTTGCTGCTCCTCTCCATCTTGTCTTCATAGTACCTGTCCTTGATCTTCTCCAGCTCATCCACGCGGGCTTTCAGCTTCCTCACCTCCTCCGCTGCAACAGACAGACACAGGCTATCAGCAAAGGCAGAGCTGGCACCTTACAGCCTCCTGGGAGGCCTTCCATGGAGCACTGGGTCTGGGGTCTTCATGCCCTGGGCGCATCTTGCTGGAATACTCATGTGGAGTATTCCACAAAGGCATCCATTGTGGCCACCAGCAGGATTAGCCCAACATCCTCCCCACGTCTTAAAGAAACCTGGCTTGAGCTCATCACCTGAGCTGGGTGACAAGCTAGTCCTCCTTCCCCCTCAAGTGAGAGATGACCAGGAAAGAGGTACAAGTGCTTGGGAAAGGTGATAAAAAGCTATGGTCTTATGGTTAAACACAGTCAAAGGCACACAGCAGGCTGCCATGGCTGCAGGAAGGATGGTGGTGTGGCATCTGGAACTGCCTTAATGTCCCAGTGCCCCCCACTCATTGCCACCTGACCTTGGCAAGGGGAGTCTGGGACTCAGCTTCCTGGTCTGCAGGAGCATGGGGTTTGTACCCATGCACTCAGGCCCCTTCACCCTGATACTCGGACTCCTCTCTGATGTCTGTTCCTCTGAAGAGGCAGACAGGGGGTCAGGGGCCTCCTGCAGCCTGGTGGCCTTTGCACCTACCGAGAGCAATGAGGCCGAAGAGAAGCCCCAGGAGCAGCAGCCAGGTGAGCAGCAGGCCTAACAGCCATTTCCACCAGCTGCAGCAGGAGCCACAGGGGCACCAGGCGGGCGCGGCCCCCCATGCTCCCCCACCACCACCTCCTCCACCTCTGCTGCCACCACCACCATGGTCATAGCTGTGGATTTCTGTGGAAGAAACAGGGAAGGTGAGGCAAATTCAGGTATCTCCTGCCTTTTTCCCTCCAAATTTCCTGACTTTTGGTGACTTCCTGTAGGCCCGAATGACGGGTGCAGGGGCTTTCAAGTTCTGTGTAGCAACTTATGAGTACATGGCCGTGGCTGGTGAGGAGCAGGAGTCTGACAGCCCTGGGCTTCAGCTGTGTGACCCTGACAAAGTCACCTAAATGGGGTTAAAAGATGACCTACTTCATCCAATGGTTGCTGAAGGAAATGAGACAAGCCTTGTAAAGCAATCAGCAGAGTACAGGGCACATAGCGTGAGGGTTAGAAATCTTGGTTAGTGTGAGTCTGCCACTGGTCCGCCACAGTGTCCTGCTTCTGTGGGGGCCCATACCTAAAGCTCTCCCATCGCCATGTCTCACTTAATGCAGCTCACCCTTTGTGGTTCCCACAGTGCCTAGAATTACACTCAGCACTGAGGTATACTCTGTAAATCTAAAACAGGATTTTAAAAGAAAAGGCTTTGCAGTGCTCTAAAATGAGGTGGCAAAACTTGCTGTGTTTCTATCACAAGGCAGGGAGGAGGTGAAGAAAGTGCACATGGAAGGGGCACATGGTTCAGTGTTGTCTTGGGCCATGTGAAGGTTCTGTAGAGACTCAGAGAAGCCCTGTCGTGTTGCTCCTGCCCTAGAGTGGCTGTAAATTAAGGACGGTGGGGCCTAGGCTAAGCTCCTTCTGCAGCCACCTCTAGCCCTCTGGTCCCCTACCTACTGAGCATTTAGGAAGCCAGAGCTGTGTGGCTCCTATGGGCAGTGGCTCCAGGCAAGGGGCCACCATCTGTTCCACCAAGTGTGACCAGGCCCTTGGATCCTGTCACTGCTGCACACCCTGCTCTTACCCACCTGCGGAGGCCACCTTGCCCTTTGCAGACACGGTCTTCATGTCTCCTGAAAGGACAAACACGAGTTTGGACTAGGGCTTTTGGACTGGAAGAGCCCACAGCCTGCCCCTCACTCTGATTCTGGGTAAGTCCTCCCATAAATTTGTCTCCAAGCACCTTGCCAAACAACAACGTGCAGGGACGCCCAGTAACTCAGTCAGGAACCTGATATTTGCAGCAATTTCATTGATGAGGACATGGCTTGGCCAGCAGTTAATGGTGGAAGAAAGGATGTTTTTTAATTCTCTTGTAACCTTAAACCTTTAAGGTTGTCAACTAATACACTTCTGTTGACATTTGCACTTAAATGTGCTTACGTGAAATGTCTCTGATTCCTTTTTCTTTTGGTGCTGGGTTTGAAACCTGGGTCTACTGCATGCTAAGTGTACCACTAAACTACCCAACCCTGATTCTGATCTCTTGACTAATGAACTTTGAACGGAGGTTGCTAACGTGGGGCTGAGGAACCTGGGAACTTTGGCTAGGATAACTTGGAGGAGGACTGTTTGTGAGACCCTGATGCTATTTGAAAATTGAGCATTTGTAGGCATGTGTGGAATTTTCTGGGAATTTGTTTATAGCTTTCATCAGATTCTGAAAAGGGCCTTTTGACTCCACAGCCTGGATCTAAAATATGATGATTTAGAGTCAAGTTCCAATCTATTTGCCAGGCTTCCCTTTCTTTCCTGGCCTTCCTGAAATTTTATAAGGCCTCGGGAAGACCTGTGGTTTCCCAAGAAAGGATCCAGATATTTAGGTAGAAAAATAATGAAGCCAACAAATACTTTGCAAAACAGTTTTCTATTAGTTTTGAGAGTTACTGGAGAACTAATAGGGTGAGGAAATACCACTGTAGACAGGTGAGAGGAAGGCTTTTGATTCAATTCTGTGCACCCCTTAATCACCTGGGGAGCTTGTTAAAATGTAGCTTCCTACTGAGCAGGTCTGGTTTTGCATTTCTAACATGCTCTTAGGTGTTGGCAGTGCTGCAGGTCCAAAGGCCCTACTTTGAGTAGCAAGGTGTCACAAGACAAAGAAATGATGTGTGGCTTGGCTGAAGTGAAGGTGGACAAGGAAATGGTAATGTTCTTACCATTAGTTTCTGCCTTCAGACAGGTGTCAGCCATGTAGGCAGCCTGTTTTTCTTTCTTCAGAGTGTCTTCTGAAAAAGAAGCTGTGCACAGAACCCATGATAATCTGGTATTTTTCTCTCCACCCTCCCGACTTGCCCATATTCCCTTGCTACTTGGGGAGACTAAGATTAGCCTGGTATATGAAACAGCCCAGTTTTTCTGGGGTTAATCTTCCCTATGTATGCTTGTGGCTAAACGTATATTGCCCAAAGACCTTTCTGGGAGCTCTTTGCCTAAGTTTTCCTGGCTCATCTCCCTTCAATGCAGACCCTGCAATGTTTTAGGAGGGGAGGTGTTTTCCATTAAAATGGGATTGCTGTGGTTTCATGATTAAGTCAACTCAAGCTACCCTTGCTAGGATGGTCAGTCTCCTACACCGTTTGCCTCTCTTCTGAAGCCTGAGTCACAGGGGCCCTAACATACTTGCAGCAATGCTGGCAGGAGAGGCAGTGAACACCTTCCCACTGTCCTTGGTCATGATCAGCAATTCCATCTCCTTCTTGGCTGGCACATTGTCTTTCTCCAGGATCAGGAATTTACAGTCCTTGTGCAAGTGGTCATCATTCTGGACACTGGTGGTGCAGGCTGGGGAGAAAGAAGAGGGTGAGAGGAGGAACAGATGCCAGGAGAAGGGAGAGAAGGACACGACCAGATTAGGAAGAAGGAAAAGAGAGATTAGCGGATGTGTACAAGGGTCTTCTGTTCATGCTGATAGTGGTGCTATGAAGCATCTTGTGGACCAAGGACATCCCTCCCTGCCCAGCTGGGCCTGGCCATCAGGAGGTCAGGTTAATGGTTAAAGTGCTGAGTGGCTGATCTATGGGGCTGCCTCCCCACCTGGAGACACAGAATCTTTATTAGGATGATAAAGTCCCCTTTGTTAGGCAAGTCCTTCTTCAACTAATATGGTCAATTTGTTTTTACCTTCCCAGCGAGGCTTTTCCTGCACTGCACCCCATACACATGCTCCCGTCTCTATCACATCACTCACTGTTTCCTTAAGAGCTGTGGCATTTTCTGCAGCTGTCTTGTATACTTTGCCTTTGTGTTTGTTATCTGCCTGCTCCATTGGCATTGTCAGTTTGTTGAGGGCAGAAATCTATCTTGTCTTGTCCAACACTTGGAATAGTATCTCTCTGATACAAAATTAGTGCTCAGTAATTTAAAAAAAAATGAGTGAATTACTGAGTGGAAGGAAACATACCAGGATCAGACCAATGGAAGAAATAGCTTGCCACATGGTGTGACAAAGATTGAATGAACAGTAGGGAGGGTGCTGGCAACTTCTGAGGGGCTCCCTGACTCTTAATGGGTTATACCTAAGAGGTGGAGGCCCTTCTAGACAAGGGCAGTGGCTAGTGTTTAAGTGCCAGATTCTAGACAAGAGTGGAGGGCAGAGCTTCCTGCTCCTGTGGGAAGAAGGTCAAACAAGTTCATGGGATGCTCATCCCTGTGCACTCACAGAAACATTCAAGAGGCTGTTTCACCTTGGGTAAGTTGTGTTTGGGGACCCATGGACCCACCCATGGGTTCTATCCCTCCTTCAGTGTACCATGTGTCACAGCATGGCAATTTTCCCTGTGTGCCAGCCCAACCTCTCACCGACAGTACTCACCAGCAGATGTGGACACACCAGTGCTCACGACAGCTGGGCTCTGGGGCATGTTTTTCTTCACACCATATGCTACAAGAGAGGAACTACTGATGAGCTGGGCCAGCGTGGAAGGTTGGCTCCTGTGGCTTAGAAGCAGCCTGGCCAGGAGGTGGTCTCCCCAGCAGAGGAGAAGCAACAGTTGAAATCAACTGTCTCCAGCCACAGGGCAGCAATGAGTATTTAGACAGAGCATTCTTGAGTCCTATCTAGGGCTATCCTAAGGGCCATCCTCTCCAGGAAGTTCTCTTAGACGCTCCTTTGCTTCTGCATTCCTACTCTACACAATGTATCACTTATTTCCTGTTGTCTCATAGGATTCCCTCATCATTTTGTGTGTGACCTTCTACTCCAACTAAACAGTAAGTATGCACGTTGAAGGCAAGGCTAAAGCTTGCAACTCTTCCATTAGTACTTCAACCCCTAGGTTTTCACAGGGGCAGTGGCCTGGGTGGTGCACCATAAAATCAACCAGCTGATTCATCTGAAATGACATCAGGCTATAGAGACCACCAACTTGATCAGCTGGACTGTGAGATACACAGGGATGTATAGTACAGGTGACACATCACAGGATGGAGATGCTGTGGACAACCGTGTAGTGTTAATCCATGTCTAAATCAGCAAGTTGTTAAGATTGGCGTCTCTCAGTTGGGGAAGGAGTGGGTGTTTCACAGATGGGAAAGTTCAGTTGCTTTTCCAAGGCCTGTTTGTCCTTCTGGTCTTACTAATTCAGTCGTTGCAAAGGGAAAGCATAAATTGTAGCCTTAAAGAGTTGTCACTTATCAGTCCCTAAGTGCCAAACCTAGGCTACCAACCTGTGGAAGTGGTGGTTGTACCATGCGACAGGGCAGATGAGCTGGGGGCGAGATTGTTCTGCATGCCAAACACTGTGAGAGGATTGAGAACAGGTGAGAAGGGGGTGCATGACGAAGCCCGGCTGTAGGCAGCCTCCTAGAGCCCTCAAACTACTTTCATGACGAATGCCTCTGCAGATAACCAACTTTCTTGGTTCCCATACTTTTAGTGACACAGTGATTTCTTTTAATCCCCCATCTCCCCACCCTTGGCCAAACTTCACTAACAGTTCCGTTACTGAACTCAAGTAAGTGAGTCCACTCAACTTAATAGCAGTAGCTCACACAGATGTGGCTAACACAATGTATGTGGAAATAGTGAATAAAGATTTCTTTTTAATGGCCATATGTTTGTATTGGAAACTAAGCAATAATATTATTTACCCAGGATGGTTACCCAGTGATTCATTATATTTTTAAAATCCTTCTAAGGATGTTATATTTATAAGATCCTTCTAAATTAGCAATGCTTTTTCACCCTGAGAATGTCCTAAGCGAGATCCATTTACTTCCATTTTTTTTTTTAACTCTCCCAGAATATAAGACCAGAATAAGCTTGTCCATGTGAGCTCAGAGCCCTCTCTCCTTAGACCTTCCCCTTGGGATCCCAAGTCCTATCTGTGATCAGCTGCAGGTGCTGTGCCTCTACACGCAGCTGTGGCCTCTTGGCTCTGGATGCAGAGTACATGGTGGTAAGTCCTTCACGAAAGGAAAGTTCTGGGAAAAAGGATGTCTTCTCTAGAAACCAATCTACTTTCCTTGTAAGGGAAGAGCATTCTTATATTTTTAAGCAGCCAGCCTGGAACAGGTCACTCAATATGGCAACACTGACCTGAGGAGCAAGTGCTGAGTCCAGGGTGTAGGGTGGGAGAGCAGGATGCCATGTTATTTGGAACTCCAAAGACTGCAGGGAGGATGGGGAAAGGTGGATGAGAGGGCTGTCCAGCCTAGAGCAGGGGCAGAGACCTAGATACCATAGATGTACCAGAAGAAATGCCAGGATTGGGTTATTTTTTGCTATATTTATTTTGGCAGCACTGGAAGTGAACTCAGGGCTGCATGCTTGCTAGGCAGGCACTATACCACTTGAACCACACCCCCCCACCCCCATTTTGTTACATTTTTGTTTTTAGGAGAAGCTTAATGTTCAGTTCTCTTGCCAGGCAGCAGAGAACTGAACATCAGCCTGTGGTGTACCTTAGGTCCTAGCCAACAGGTGATCTTGAGTTGGTTAGACCTGGAGTGGACAGTGAGTCCAGCCAAAGATCTTTCTTGTCAGTGACCTCATTTTACAGAGAAGGTCCCTGAGGCTCAGAGAAGTTAATTGACTTGATCAAGTTCCCACAGTCATTTCACGTGAGTGTTCCTTTCTATAGTGGACCCACGAAAAAAACATCTCCTACACTGAATTGAATTAAAGATCCAGTGGGAAACCCTTGAAACACTGCGCTATAGAAAATGTCTCTAGGAAGCCTTGGGGTTGGCCAATGCCCAAGGACTCTCAGCAATAGGGTAGAGATGTGGTAATTTCCATTTTGTGGTGAGAGGAGGGGTGTGCAGCCCACCACCTACCTGATCCTGCTGAATAGGCATTGGTGTTGAGAAGGGAGGAGCTCTGGGTTGTCATGTTGTTGTGATAGGTCCCCATGGAGGACCCCGCGGGCAAGGTAGAGGACCACATGTGAGAGGGAAGGTTGGTGTCCAGGATTGTTGTATCATAGGTACCCGACACTGCAAACAGAAACACACACATATCCCAGTGAGAGACCAATCAACACTTCTCTGCTATGGGAACTTAGTTTGGCTGTGTTTCCTGGGACTTTCCTAGTTTTAGCACTGAAGGGCCTATGTCCCAGGAACTTCTCAGTTCAGAGCAGCCTGGGGCAGTGAGTCATCCCGCTTTTGACTGAGATCAACACTGATCTCTTGGATCAGAATTCCTTGCCAACTCTTGATGAAGTAGATTAATTTTGCCTTGGGGTCCACTCATTTCTCCTTCTAAACCCTTCTTCCCACATCCAAGTGGGCTGTTCCCACCAATAATCTTCCTCCTCAACCCTTTGCTGGTTCCTCCATCTTGAAAGATGCCAAGGAGCAATAAATGAGACTCTTACAGAAGGCTTCCAAGCACCATGGCAGATGTAGGGTGTGTGCCTGACAGGGGTACACCCAGGTAAGAGGCTGCACACTGCACGATAGTAGCCTTCTCTGATCAAACCCTCTTTAAATATCCTGATGCGTTAATAAGACCCAAGGGGCACTCTGTCCTGGAGAGAGCTTTTCATGCCTCTTAAAATCTGGTACCAGTTCTGTCTAATCATTCTATAAGTGGGAGCTGCCAACACAGGTAATTAATGTGCCCTGGGGCTTGGTTTTATAAGGAGAAAAAACTCAGGAAAGTCATGGTTTATAGGTTTCTTTCCAGGAGTGAAAAAGAGGAAAGCTTCATGTAACAGCAGACTTGGCTCCCTCCAAGGCTCTGCTAATTTGTCTTCCTGCCGCCTGCAGAAGTTCCCTCTCACTCTGTAAGCACTTGACGTATGGGTGCTGAATTCTTCTCCTCCTATATGACTGGGACCTCTTGGTTTTTTGTTTGACTTTCCTTAGAGACCTTCCTCTATAGGAGGCCAGTGACTGCATCTCTCTTGTCCAGTGCTTTTCCTCAATGCCTGATGCTTAGCATGAAGGAGGTATATAATACTCATCAAAGAATGAATGAAAACACCACACCTTTCCCCATCACTCTTCATTTAGGGAAACTGAGGAAGGAGAATCTCTAGGATTTAAGGCCAGGCTCCACATCCTCATGGGATGGATGACCCGGCAGGTGAGAAGTCCACATGTTCACACTGTGAGAAGAGTGATGCTCAGTGCTTTGCAAAGCCTCTGGCAAAGTGTAAAAGGTCACTATAGAATTTTCCAGCCAGTGTAAATATGCCAACTGGTTCCCATGCCTCCATGGCAGCCTGGGGCTGTCAGGCTTACCTGACTGGGAGCTTGCTGTCACCATTTTGGTCTCCACGGTGCCCTTCTTGGGGATGGGGAGTGTGTTGGAGGTGTTCCGTGTAGGACTGGCACTTGCTGATCGGCTCCCCTTGAGCAAACGCTTGACATCATCCAATTCTGTCCCTATAGAAGAACCCCCCAGACTTTTCCATCAGACCCAGGGCTCTTCCCTGAGCCCAAGTGCAGAGCAAGGAATTGATGGTATTTAGATCCCAGGGGGAGGAACATCTGCTTCACATATCAGGGTATGTTTGGTTAGTTTATAATTTCTACGTTTTGCCAGTTTATAGTACTTAAGAGCCTGGCTTTGTGTAATGTTAAAACCCAATAAACTGTGCCTCCCACAAGTTGCTCCAAGTCCTTGCAGATATTTTCTAACTAGACCTCATTAGACACCACAGGGATGATTCTGTGACAGGAAGACGTAGTTATCTGGGACCAGGCAATTAGAGAGCCAGGTCCTTTGAAACAAATAGTTTAACTGTAGTCTCATCCCCAGTACAGGGTGCCACAGATGTCAGGTTCTAATCTTGTGTGCCTGGGAGTGCCAAAAGGATTTGCGGCCTATAATTCCTAAACATTATACTGCATTCATATGTAATTTCATTTCAAGTCCATCTGGCTGATATTACCTATAGCAAGGTGAATAGTAGAACAAGCTCCTGTACCTCCTCCCAAAGGGAAGAAAGGAAGGAGAAAGGCAGCGTGTAAGGGTAGTGCACAGGAAGGGATGAACAGATTTACAGACAACTCAGACTGGGGGGCTCCCAGTCTCCCTCTCCTACACCAAAAAACCCCATCATTTGAACTCAACACCTTAAGCCTAGAGGACTCTGCTGAGAAAGCGTCAGGTCTGGAGTCAGATTCCCACACCCAGGTGAGCAAGCCTCTATCTACATGTCCCGAGCCACTGACCCAGCTCTTCCTTCTCCCAATCCTTGTATTTTGTTCCTGCTCTAGATGGTGGGCTCATTTCAAAATGTGGCCAAATCGCCTCTATCACGGGCAATAGGTCTAATGCACGCAATGTCCAGAAACTGACTTTGGAGATGAAGTTCAAATTCTTATACTCTACCACTGAACTCTAATCTGAACTCTCTAATTGTTCCCCCACAGTCCTTGAATGTCACCAGCTGGCTCCATCCTCTGAGCCTAACTCTGATCCACCCTTCAGTCTTCCTTCAACTGCCATCTAACCCAGGAAGGCTTCTCTGGCCTCATGTGCCTTTCTCCTTCTTCCTGGGGTGACGTAGAGTCACTTTTCTATGCTCTGTCACCACATGAGCTGTGGTAGCTGCTGGTTTAGTCTCTCCACAAGTCTTTAGACTACTAAGCAGCAGGGACCATGACTTACCCAGTAACTTAACCCCAGCACTTAACCCAGGGGCAAGTGCACAGAGTGTGTTTGATGACTGAACAGACACACACACACACACACACACACACACACACACCATTAGCCATTAACTCCTAAATGTTAAGCTGCATTCATACATGATTCAACGTCAAGGCTTCCTGGATCCTTATGTTGTACCAAGACAGTGACCACTTACATCTGGTAGATGGTGAGGCACTCTGCAGTCGAACTCGAATTTCGCTCTCTGTACAAGAGAACAGATGGAAAGGCTGTGAGTGAAGGAGCCTGGACCACAGTCTCTAGAACTGAGCTCTGAGCATCAGGTAAAGCTTTGGGTTACTCTGAGATTTCTGAGTCCTGAGACCAGGACACCTAGGTGTCCCAAGAAAAGTACTGCTAAATAAGGGACACCCCGTCACCACTGCACCTACCAACCAAGGTCCCTGACTGAGCAAGGAGGCTCCATTATACTCAGCAGTGGCCACTCCCTTTCCCATCGTCCTCTTTAAGTTGCTAGAAACAGGCATTTCTCCTGTCTCTGTGTGGCTTAGGTGTGGACAAGAGAACACCAAAACTTCCAGTGTCCAGGAGTGGTGGCACAAGCCTGTAGTCCCAGCACTCAGGAGGCTGAGGCAGAATGATCACAAGTTTGAGGCTTGCCTGGGCTATACAGTGAGACCTTGATATATTTCTTCCCCAGCCCCCACCCCAGCTCCCCAAGGCAACTTTTCCTAGGCCATTTCTCTCCTCCATCCCTGTCCACATGAGGAGATGATAAAACTATCCCCTGGAATAATCTGAAAAAGAAGGGCTTTTTTGTGTCTCTCACACATAAGGCTATCAAAGCACACCTTATTAGAGTCAACTAGGAGATCAGCTGTGAAACCAGATGTGGCAACACATCTTCAGACCATCCAGAGCAGAGGAACCATTCCCCACATTGTCACCATGTGTTTTGATTCCTGCCCCTAACATTTGTTACATCATTAGCAGCAGCCCCCTTCCCACCCTGATAGAGTCAACAAAAGACTTCCAGGGGACTCCCTGCTCCTCCAGGACAGAAACCACACCTCATTTATTCTACTGTACTCCTCGCTTCCTGGCTTAAGACGGGCCCATGTTTGCTGCTCAGAAAATGCTAGTTGATTGAACTGAGCTGAACCCAGAAATAGTGCTCACCTCGCGTTTGGCTCCGTCCTCTGGTTGCAGAAGATGCTGAAAAACAAAAATGTACTCGTAGGCACATATAAGAAGTGGCATATTGACTGTTCTTGACATGGAGGTAGACATGTTTTATTTTCACAGTGTCTAAATTCAGATAGGGGCTTTTCTGTATAGCAGGTGCTGAAAAATAATGACCAGACGCTAAAGGGAAGAGAATGTTTTTGTGATATCCTAGAGCAGTTCGGGTGTGAAATCAGCTAAATGAATGTTAAGTTAGCTGACACTTGGAGTATTGTTAGCTGAGGTAATCCATGGAGCATGATCATTTGGACTGGCTGACAACACTGTCAAATCTTCCCTTTAATTTGTTTAGCAGAGCCTGCCTTGGTTTTCCAACTGTAAGCAAATAAATTATAATCACTACATAATCACCAGTCATATCCTCAATTCATGTGCACTGCAAGATTCCAAGAACACAGGCCAAAGACTAAAGGTCACAGCCCAGGGTGTCACTAAGGGATATGACGTGGCCTATGGGGTGAGCTGGGATGGTGAGCATTTGTGTGTTGGGACTGCTGCTCTCCTTGCTGGCAGGTGTCTGTGCACTTCATGGAAGCAAGAAACACTACAATTACTGCTTAGCCTGAGGGGTGTATCTGTCTAAGCATGAACCTCAAACAAACAGCTCGCCATTGTAACAGTGTCGTGAGCAAATGCTATGACAGCAAGTTAATGGGACTGACAGTCCCCCTAAGATGTGTCAGAATGAAGAACAAGGAAAAAACAGGTCAGCAAAATTCAAGTCCTCTAGAAGAATCCCATGTAGCTCCTGAAGTCCCCTGTCCACCCCGCCACCCCCAGCATTTTCGTAGTGTCCTATTTGAGCATTTTAGTAGAAAATAAGGAGGGGACATACCGAATTCCTTTCGCGGGTACTCTGGAGAAGAGTTGCCACTGGAACTCCCTGAAGAGAGGAGGAGACACAGTACAAATGGACGCCTACGCCCACAGGGCTTCCCAGTGTGTGTGGGGGGGTGCTGACCTCGTCTTTTGGAGCCCCAACAGTGGAAGGTGTTTAGGAGGGAATGCACTGCGCTCTTAGCAGAGTGTCCCAGTGGGAGCCCCTTCTGGGGCTTACCTGTCTCAATTGTTTGTACCACCATGAGCCTAGCCTGGGTTTGAAACCTCTATGGAATGACCAGTTCCTGTTTCACTTTATGTGTAACCGGTTTCCAAACCTATCAACTCCACCTCTCGTCCCTCTCACCTCCCACTCCTCCCACTCCCCCGGTAACCAGCCCAGATCTCCCCCTCTGGACTGTTGAGGATTTCCTCTTGCCACCCACTCACGGCTTGCAGCGTTCCAGTTCTGGACCTCAATTATGACTGACTGAATGGCTCAAAATCTTCTGTGGTTTCCCACTGTGCACACCATAAAGTCTACACATCTCCTCCTAGCACTGAACCTGGGTCCCCAACCACTGCAAGCCCTGGATTCTCCTGCTTGTCTTTACATGTGCTCCTACTTCCCCAGCCTGGACTTCCCCATCTCTGCATCCCTGGGTGTCAAAATCTCACACATCAGGACCACCCAGCTCAAATGCCTCCTCCTCCTTGGAGTCTTCCCTGATTTCCTCAGCTTTCCTTCCGCATTATAGCTTTTTATCTCAATTTATCTCTGAGACTACAGTGTCCTTGAAGACAAGATCCTTATTTGATTCAGTTTCATTTGCAACCATCAAGGCGTTCCACACATGATAAAATGCAAGTTGAAAAAATGACTAAGCATGTACAGGAATGAATGAATGAAATCTTTCAAACATTTGTGTCCATAAAAAGGACTGAAGGAGGAGTGAGGAGAACAGGGTGGGATACTGACCCCGTGAAGCCAAGTGGCCAATGTGTGAATTTGCAGAGCGCGGGTGAGGTTACGTGGGGAAGAGGGTGTTTCTCTCCCAGTGTGTGGGACTGATACCTTCGTACGTTCCATGGCGGGTAATGTGAGTTTTCCTTTCAAAGGTTGATCCTGGCGAGTTGGGCACAGTGGAAGCAGGTGAATGAGCCCTCCTGTAACTGGAGGTGGAGGCATTGCCTCGTAAGCTTCCACCTGCAAGTGGGGAAAGTGTCGATCCTTGTAGCACTTTTGCAGAGGTAAGTCACATGGTGTTGGAATCCAGTTGTATTAACCAAGAGCACCCAGGCTGCTCACAGCTAAGGGAAGGCCATGTAGAAGGGCCAGGGGCTGACAGAAGAGGAGCCCAGGTGAAAGGTGGCTGCTTAGAATTGAAAGGGCAGGATTGCTGCCATTGCCCTTCTTGAACCGGCCTGCAAGGAAGGGAGGTCCCTTCTGCACAGTTACGGTGCACAGAAATGGCAACAATCTCTTGAGGACCTGATGTTGAGTGGTGGAGTCCTGATGGGTGGACTAGAAAATAATCCACTGTGGAGCCACCCTCAATAAGTAAGGGCAAGGGACAAGCATGGTGGTTCATTTCTGTAATCTCAGCTACAGAGCAGACTTAGGTAGGAGGATCGTGGTTCAAGGATGACCGGGGGGAGGGGGGTGGGGGGGTGGGGGGGGTGGGGGGGGACGAACGGACGGACGGACGGACACTATCTGTAAACAACTAAGGCAAAAAGAGCTGAGGGTGTGGCTCAAGTGGTAGAGGGCTTGCCTAGCAAGCCAAGGCCAAGGTCAAAACCCAGTAGCACCTTAATGAAGTAGCTAATTAATTGTTTCCATGTGAAAGTTTCAAGGGGAAAGAATCGCCATGCTCTGTGCTTGTCCTGTGGGACACTGCAGGGTGGAATTACATGGCATGGGATTCCCTTAGCACAGTAACCCAGTCTGTCTTCAGCTACGGGTTTTGTAATTCACATTGTAAACCACGTCCACACCCTTTCCTAAAGAGTGACTTGGTGGAACACAGTCCCTCCCTGTGAATTAATGAGTTATTTATTTTGAGGACTTAATGAAAATTCATTCCGTTGTAAGTAGGCTTCCAATGCTGATTCACACCCTCCCTGGGCCATGTGTCCTTTAGATACCTGCGGGGCATTTGGAATGGATGACAGGCAGTTGCATTGACTCAGGAAGAGCTGCCCTGTCTTATCCTCAGACACGGGGACTTTTTCAGCAGCTCCCTCCCCGTGCTTCTGTCCTACCCCAGGCTCCCACACTGTCAACCACTCACTTGAGTTGATGTAGCCGCTGCTGCCGTGGGTCAGGCTTTGTTTCTCCAGCCGGCTCCCTCCACCCAGTGAGCCTGTTTTAGCATAGCCATTGCTGGTCCCCCCTTCTGCCAGAATGGAGAAGCAGGTGACAATTTCAGGATGGAGTCAGGTGAGAGAGTCCCTTCATCCCCTGCCCCCTGGAAGCCTTTTCTCATTTTCTCAGTTCTCACCAGGACCCTCCTGCTTGGGCCCCCCTCTCCCATGCTCTCCCTCACTACACCATCAGGTGCGAGCTGTCATGTTCTAGGTTATGTTTGCTACAAAGGCCTAGAGTGAATATTATACTTGACCTTCTGAGCACAGCCAGCTACTCACTAGGAAAATATAAATATTAGACAAGGCAGCTGAGAGAGGTCAAGTTCCTTGAGCCCAGACCCGAATTGGGTTTGCTTTTACAAATGCCTGGTCAGGGCCCAGACATGGCAGCCATTGGAAGTTTTGGTGGACAAGTGGCAGCTCTAGATTGCATCAGCCATCACTACTCCAGCCTTGCCGTTGGCTGGGTGGTATTCTCCATCCCAGAATAGCTTTGGGGCTCAGTCTCTATTACGGAATCACTAAACCTATGGAGCCCTGGAAAACAGTGGAGTGAAACAGAAGTTTGACATGCAGCAAGCTACTCCACACTCAGGGTGACAGGATTGCCAGTATTTTAGTGTCTAGAGTAGATAAATTCGTAGAGATCAAAAGTAGATGTGTGGTTTCTGGGGGCTGCAGAGAGGAGAGGGAGAATGGGGAGTGACTTCTAATGGTTATGAGGTTTTCTGTAGGGGATGATGGAAATGTCAAATTAGATTGTAACAGTGGCTGCACAACCAGGGAGCCCACCCTTGAAATGGGTAGATTTTGTGGTATATAAATTAATGTCAAGATAGCTGTTAGCAAAAAAACCAAATCAGATGTTTCGCTCAGTGGAAGAGTGAGCTCCCCTATTCAAGGTCACTGTGTAGGGCCCTCGCATGTGACCTACAAAGAGGTAATCCACTTACTTGGTGGTAAGGAAGTGAGTCGTGTCGTCACTGTCTCAGTAATGACTAGAAAAGACAAAGGAAAGAGGACATCTTATGAATGTTCCAACAACTCTGATCGGCAAGGCCTGACACCTGTCAAAGCTAAGCTAGGTTCAACAAGGACATTTGCATACCTGTGTCTTAAGGTAAGGGACCTGCCAACTGCACATGAAAATATGAGCAGTAACACTGGGGCTCAAGGTACTTGGAAAGGAAGTTTCTTTCTCTTTGGAACCAAAGGAAGTTACCCATGGATGGAAAAATGTGTTGTCTTAACATCAACATGCCTCACTGTCAGCTGCGGATCAAGCCTGAGTTTGACTTTGAAAGAGGGCCAGGCCCTTTGTCTAAATCATACTGTCTCTCTGCCCTATTCCTTCCCAAAGACCCCTAGTCAGCAGGGCCCATGCCCTGGCTGATTTCACCGTGGACTTCCTAATGGACTTGAGGTGTTTCAGGAGTGTCACAATTCATTGTGGGATTGTCAAGGCCAGCTCTGAGTGGGGATGGTGTGGGAAGGAAGGGGGTCTGAGTAAGTAATTTTTGGAAGTTGTTAAAATCAACTCAAAGATAGACTTGAGGAACCAATCCTTTTGCTCCCCCACCCCCAAATTGAGTTTTTCTAGATCTTAGCAATGAGCATGGAGAGGATATGAAGGATACAGAGTCAGTAAGAACTTCAGGTGTTTTAGGAGATGCCATTAGAAGCAAGACCTCCTGCCTCCCAAGTCTCTCTCTCCTCTGCAGCCATGTGAGGAGGGAGTAGATTCCCCAAACCACAGCAGGGCCAATTTTGTGTCTGACTGTGGCCATCACCACTCCCTTCCTCCATGTTGGGCGTAATATTGCACCTACCTAGCTGGGTCTACAGTCTTTAAAAGCAAACTTCCTCTGTGTATGTGTGTGTGTGTGTGCATATACATATACAGGCATATACATGTGTGTACATACAGCACTCATGCATACACACATGTAGATGGAGGGTGTGCAAGCTGAAAAGTGTGGAAGGAGAAGCTACAGAGTCATTTTGTGCCACTTGAAGCTGGGCCATTGGACCCTGCTCCAGCTGCAACATTTGGTTCCCCCATCCTTCACACTGCATTTTTCCAATTCAGTTATCCTGCCAGGAGCAATGGGGTTACAAGCATAGCAGAAACAGAATCCAATGCATAATAGGGAATGGTTTTGGGGGAAGCAGCAGCTTCACTTGAATAATAGTCCTTCAGCTTCCACTGACCCTCTCATGGCATAGACCTTTGGGATTCTCTGACATACAAAAATAAATTATTTTCCAACCGAAAGTTTCATGTCTGTGAAGCCAGAAATTTTTTATTGGAAATATGTTGAAGGTCACAGAATAAGTGAAAAATTTCCCTAATTTAGAGTTGCTAAGGGGAACAGTTTAAATGTCTCTGAATTCATGATTTGTGCAGTTTCACAAAATAAATGTCCCTGCTTTCAATTTTTAGTGTAGACTTTGACTATGACACCAGTATTATTTCACCTTCGTCACTGCTATAACTTAGATATTATACTTGTAGATTTCTGTTGCCCTATATCCATAAATAGGGAAATGGTTAAATAAACTATAGAGAATTTATTCAACAGAATATTGTATAGTCATTAAAAATTCTGGTTATGAAAACTACACGTGGAAATGGTAGTGTTCTGTCTTTCTCTCGGGCTGGGATTGAACTTGGGCCTAATGTATACTAGACAAGTTCTCTACCACTGAGCTACACCTCCAGCCCCAGAAAGGGCAGTTTTCACCCTGGAAAAAAATGCAAGACATATTTCTGATTACAAGAGTGTTAAAAGGAAAGACAACAGGTGGATTATGGCTCAAGTGGTAGAGCACCTGCCTAGCAAATGCAAGGCCCTAAATTCAAACTCTGTACCTCCAAAAAAAAAAAAAGAAAAGTCAACAAGTGTCATGGAAAGGAATAAAATCCATTTAGAAACACACTTTATAATGGTACCATGATTGTCGTGGGATTATGAATGAATGACTTGTTTATTCTATTGCCAAAATTTAAAAATTCTTTCAAAACAAAACAATTATTAATTAAAAAAATCAAGTGTTACTTCTTTCAGTGACTTCAGTGCCATCCCGCTTGTTTTTCTTGGTCACATCCATCCCATAGCCACCTGCAGGAAAAACCAGAAACCATGAAGGACCATGTCTCTTCCCATTGCTTTTAGCAAGGACAGACCCCCTGCTACTCAAGCTGAGAACAAATCCCTGGTCCCTAGAACTCAAAGCATAATTTTTTTCTAGTGTATATTTGGTGTAAGAGCTATTCCTATTTCCTGCCGTCAGTTGTAAAGGACAGAAGTTAATAGTTCCACTTGGAGTCTACTTCTTTGTACTGGGATCTTATTTTTCAGAATCTTACACACTAGCCTGCCCTCTGCTGAGCACCCAGCAGCCATGGTGCCCTGACTTTTGTGTGACTATTAAACCTCTATTCTTTGTCAAGGTACCAAATACCCAAAGGCTCTCTGTCAAGGTGTAACTGACTAGTTCATTCTGATGTGTCCCACAGTGTTCTGTGTTAGGGTTTGGATGTGAGAATGGTGCTTGGTGGATTTGATCAGGATGACTTTAAATGACTTTTAAATGACTTTGTCAGACGTGAATGGAACTTTGCAAAATAAGGAACTTTCTCTTCCTTACAAACAGACTCTCAGAGTCTTCCTTTCAACATAAGTGGGAAAATAGGTGAAGAGAATATGTGTAGAAACTATAGAGATGCCTGGGAATGCATGTGTGCCCTCTTCACTCTTAGAAGGAAAGAAGGTCTTGGCTGCTGTGTCTCTAAGCGCGGATGGCACGAGGCAGGGCTGCTAGCGAGGGGTGGTGGTGGTCTGGGGACTTAAGGCTTAACCACAGGGAAGGTCCCCAGCCCAGCTGGGCTCTTTTTGCTATGACACCTGATGTCATGTTCCAGAAGGACTTGAACATGGCTTTCCTTGTGATACCCCATCCCATCCCCTTTTCTTCCTCTTGGTTTACCTTTTGGTTCCAGTTCAGACTGGGTTCTAGATTTGAGGCAAGCCTTCTCTGCATGCTTGCCCCTTGCCTGAACTCTTACCTTGCTCTCTTCACCTGCCTAATGACTTTGGGATTGATTTATCCCTTAGATACCACCGACACAGTGCCTAGGCCTTCCACGTTTGGGGGTCCACAAATATTTTCTTTTAAAATCAGAAGGAAAATAAACAGAATCTAACCTGGATTATATTTGCCTTTATGCCAATGCAGTTGTAAAATACACTTTTTAGGAGTTGTTTTCTTTTATTTTAGTGGAGGAAGTTGCTCACAAAGGCAAAAGTGTCTAGGGTTCGTGAAAATCTTAATATGGCCCTGGGTGAGGTCTCTGCTGGAATCCGAGGATCACATGAGAGTAGCTGGTCAACTCCCTGGTGGAATTAATGAAGACTGGCACGGTGAGCTTCAGGCCTGCTCGGATGTGCCAGCTTCTTGCTCATCATCGGTGTTTCCTAAACATAGCTCGAGGCAAGGAATGAGGCATTCTGGAAAAAATTCTCGCTGAGCTGAGATGCCACAGAGTGTCTTTACAGGCATGTTTCCTGGAGCTAAAAGGAGGGGGCCCATTAGCACCTTACTAGGGAGTCTAGCCTCATTAGAGGCCAAACCTGGCCTCTGACTATGTCTGCCGTCTAGCTATAACTTGCAAGACCACAGCATGCAAATCTCTGTGCAGATGAGCACCCTCTTTGAAACTCTTAGTTTTAGCATGAATTGCTTCCAGGATCTCTGAAACCCCTCTCTGCCTTTCCCTGCCTCATAATTAGTCATTAGCTAAGGACCAGGAGATACACGGGGAGACAGACATTTAAATACACCTAGCTGCCGATAGGGAGAGTCCTAGCTGTCTAAGATGGCACTTGAATTGATGGAAAATATTACCTGAAAGGGACTGTTTGTAACAATCTACAGCAACTTTTACTACCCACAAGATATTGCTAATTTTTTAATCCTTCAATGAAATTTACAGCTGGGATTGGCTAGGTTTATTCCACTTGTAGTTAGTAAGGAAGATGGAAAATAGCTCTAGTTGGTAAGAGTCCAGTCTCCAGACAGCTAACCTGGCAAATTCTGCTTGTTCTTTCTGCATCCAGAAAAATAACAGGCCCTTCATCTGTTCCCTAAATTGCAACAACAAAACTTCAATTTCTATAGCAAAAGCCAAGGGTTCCCTAACTTTCAGAATGCACAAAGAGGTGGTCTGCAAAGAAATCAGATGCCCTTGTTCAGGGTCTGGGTAGAACCTATCTGATGTGGATCCAGGTGCAAGCCTCGCTCTAGCCTGAAGCCACTGAAATGGCTCTGTGTCCCACTGCATGCAGAATTCTCATGAGGCTGACAGTTGGAGGTAGCAGAGATGTGTTGGGAGATGGATTCCTTTAAGTCAAATGTGAAAGGAGACTTCCGGAGAGTTATTTAATGGAGAATGATGGGTAGAGACACAAATCTGGGCTAGGATCACAGGATTATCCCATGAGACCTGTGGAGCTTCTGTTTGAAACATTGGAAGTGCTGGTAGTTTTTTGAAGTGTAACATCAGGGAAAGGGAAGTTCGCCTGGGTTCGTGCCCCAGCCTGCCCTTCCTGGCAGCCCTCACCTATGCACTCATCTTCCAAAAGCACTACTTAATGGAAGCTCTGTCAAATAGCATAATTTTAAACTTCCTGGATGTTTGGGTCACTTCTCTCGCACTAAAGATGAGCGCATTGTTCAAGTTCTCAATTCCACAAAATCATAGTAATTTCTATCCATAATTCTTTATACAATTTATTTGTAATAGACACATAATAATTGTGCACATTGATGGGATCCAGTGTGGTAATTTGATACATATACACATGTAATGGTCCAATCAGGGTAAGTAACATTTTCATCTCTTTAAACATTTATCATTTTTTTGGTGTTTGGAGTCTATGAATTCTTCTCTTCTAGTTTTTATAAAATACATAGTAAGTTGTAAACTCTAGTCACCCCACTGTGCTATAGAACACTAGAACTTGTCCCCCCATCTAACGGTATTTTGGTACCCCTTTTCCAACCTCCTTCTCTCTTTCCTGCCCCCTGTGTTTTCTAGTCTCTAATAATCACTGTTCTCTCTATTTCTATGAGATCAACTTTATTTTTAGCTTCCAGATCTGAGTGAAAACATGTCCACACCTGGTTCTAAGAGGCTGCTTTGTGTTATTTCATAGCTAATTGTCCTTTTGAAAATCTAAAACTGACTCCATGTCATTTTCTTATGCAAGAAGACACATTTGAAATCTGCTTTCTACTTTTATTAGTTTTTTTCCTTTCCACTTTGTTTAAGTGATGTCACATCCACCTAATATTTCTCACTGACATGAGGCAATGATGCAGCCTAACACACACACACAAGCTAACCAGTGTTGGTGATAGCAAGCTGTCACCTTTACCGTATGTTCTAATGACACGTGGAGCACTTTGTTCTTGATACAAAGAAGAGAATAAAAAAGCTAAGTGTTTTTCCTTCTATCTTTTAATTTTAGGAACAAGTATTCCTATACTCTGCTAAGGAATCACGGGTATTTTTATAGTGTCTATTATTTCAATCTCTGTATTTTTTAAATTTTAAAATAAAACTGCCAAAGTCTGAGAAAACCATCCACTGTCTATCGATCTGAAAACACGTAAGAGCTAAACAGGTTGACAGCCTGGAAAACCTGTGCCCTGGGGTTGAGAGCTCAGTCTTCATCTCCACAACACCCAGAGATGAGTTCACCACTTACTACATGTGGTCACCCTGGATTTTCATGACCATGGGCAGGTAAGATAGGAAACCAACTTTGGAATTATGCCAGCTTGTTTACTGTTGGGGCTGCTGTGATAATGGCAGCAAATGAGCCAAACAATGCCAACACAGGTTTCTTTCAGTTAGTCCTAATCTAAACCTGTGGTTAGTTCTCAGGTCTGGTCAGTTTCACCAAAATAGTGGCGTTTCTATGCAAGTTTGAAGTGGGGTTGTTCGCTGTAACTGACCCATGTGTACTCTGATCAGATCCATGTGTGGGGGATGCAAGACCCCAGAGCAAAGCAGGACCCTTCCCCCCACCAACCACCGAAGGCACCACCAGCGGCAGAACATGTGTCATAGTTTAGTTCTGATTCAGATCTGTGCCTTAGCTCCAAAAGAGAACATACAGAAGTGACAAGGCTTTTTGAACAAATACCGTGTAAGAATCTTACCACACTTTAAGGACACAGCAAATCCAATTCTTAGACTACGAATTAACTGCTTCTCAAGAAAAGCGAAGTGCCAGACATTTGCCACCACTTGAAAACCAGAAGTGGTAAACTGCTAGTCCCAGTTACTGCGGTCCAGTTAGATACCTAAACTGGCGATACTCATTGAAGGTGGTTTTTTGGAGGGGTGGGGAAGGGGAAGGAAGGCCAAACTGGCCAGTAAGAGTATATACACAGAAAAATGTTCTTTCTTTCTTTCCTTCTTTTCTTTCTTTCTTTCTTCTTTTTTTCTTTCTTTCTTTCCTCTCCTCTCCTTCCTCCCTCCCTCCCTCCTTCCCTCCCTCCTTTCCATCCTTCCTTCCTTTCTTTCTTCCTTCTTCCAAGTTTGACTCTAGGAAATTCCTGGATCAATTAGACCATTCAAAGATTTCACTTTACTTTAGATTAGGGGCCACCATGATTTTAAATATGCTAAACAGCCCCTAGAGCTTAATGTGAACCTACTGGCAACAGGAGCCCTGGCAGCACAGGGACTGCTCTTAGGAGGCCCCCACTTGCCTGCCTTTGAACTTCACTTCTGAGCTATTCTCCACTGTCTAGTGGAAAGGGAGACAGAGGGAGGGGGAGCGCCAGACAGCGAGAGAGGAAATTGAGGTGGAGAGAGAAAAGGAATTGCATGCTCTTATATCTAAATAAGACAAGTCACTTTACAATACTGACAATAATACAGAAAAATCATGCCACCAGGAGCTGAGTATCTTTTAATTGGCTTCCTCTTTCTCTGTCATGGATCTTTCTTGTTATTCCTTTAAAAGACCTGCCTTAAACAGAACATATACACCATAGTCATCATTTATGACCAACTAACCGCTTCAACCAGAACTCTAGGCACTGAAGAACTTCATTTTACTTATTTTCTCCAATAAACATTTAACTTCTAAGTTGCAAACTTTAAATCAAAGTCTCAGAGAAAGGGAGAAAGGTCATCTTGCTACTCACCAGACTTGCAATTTTGGAGGAATCTGAAACAACTTTGAGTAAGTCCCCCTCTCTCTTTCTTTTCCTGATGCTTTCTTCTAGAAATTTTCAGTGCCCAGTTTTTTTTTATCCAGACCCAGCCAAGGTGTGTTAAAGCTGAGTGATCTTTGAAAAATGTTCACTTCTTCCCTCCCCCTTGTTTCTTTCAGCGCTTTGCTTCCAAGCAAGTCCTGACAAAGGTGTGTCGTGGTTTACAGCCTTACTCCACCCTTCCAATTATCTGACACTTGCTGGATTTAAAAAAAAAATCTGCCTCCAGGAACCAAACTTTATAGAAATCTTCTCCGAACAGCTAAGGTAGATTAACCATTTACAGACCATTTATAGGAGAAAGAGAACAAAGGGCCAGCACACAGGAAACACCCTGTAGGGCTTCTCCTTACTTTGTGTAACTGGAGAATTGCCACAACTTGGCATTCCTCTTCCTCAGTGCCATGGGTACCCAAGTCCTGGTGTACAAGAATCACGAAATGTGGAGGGCCTGTGGTTCGAGGGCTTGGAGTCCTAGAAAAACCATGAAGAATTTATAACCAATACCTTTATCCTCTTTCCCACACTCTGATGCAAGCCAGGTCAAGTCCATCTGGAGGAAAGAGTGAATTAACTATAAGAGATACTCATGACTGAAAATGTTGAGCAATTGGTAGGGGAAGGGTTTATTTTTTGAAAGAGGTAATCAGATATGTGATGCTGACCTAGAAGAGTGACATGTTGGTGATAGGCATTTAGCCACTGAATAATGGAGCAAGATATTGTTGGGGAGGGGTAAGGACCTTCGTGTCTCCATTGCCTAAGGATGTGTGTGGGCTCCCAGATGCTCATAATTCCAAGTACATCCCACAGGGCCTTTAGACTTCTCCAGAGGGCCAGTGTGCATCAGTCATGAGGTTGGAGTCATAATTCTGTAGATAGCATTTGGCATTCCAGGACTCCCAAAGACTTATCCTAAGACTCTTGGCGTGGTAATATGGGGAGTCTGAACCTGGAAATTAGGTGGTTTTATTGGTGGGCATCGCGTATACCTGGGACCCAGCATCAGGCTTGAGTTCTCACACAGATGTGTGTCTTTACTCTGTCATGGGCACTCACACCCCATGGAAGGGCTGCAGACTACTGAGAACCTCCTGCAGAGCTCTGTGCCCAAACTGTTCGTGTTCTGCATTGTCATCACACATTTCAGAACCCTTGTGGCAAGGTAGGATTTGACACTTGCTTTCTGGAATGTTCTTGCCTTCCTCCAATAAATACTCAACATGTCTGCTATCACTCTCATAGGAGAACCCAGACGATAGAGAGCTTTTGGCATAAACTGACAAACCCTACATCTTTCATTAATGTGTTCTTGAGTTTATGAATTAAACAAGATGTTATTTCATCCTAGTTGGAGCCAAATATTCAGTTATACGTGGAAAGTTCAGTGGTGAAATATAGGCACATTCCCCATTCTTATGGAGTTCCCAGTCTAGTGGTGGGAGATAGGACTTAAATATGTATTGGCCACCTTGGGCTGCCATGACAAAACCCATGGTCCAAGTGGTTTAAAGAACAGAAATTTATTTTCTCACAGTCCTGGAAGCTGGAAGTCTAAGACCAAGGTTTCATCAGGTTTGATTTCTCTCAAGGATCCTTGTCTTGACTTGTAGATGGCTACCTGCTTGTTGTGTCTTCATATGGCCTTTGTATACATGAATCCCTGGTGTCTGTATGTCCTAATCTCCTTTTCTTGTAAAATCATTGATCGGGTTGGATTATGGCCCACCTTAATTGCCCTATTTAGCTTAATTACTTCTTTGAAGGCCTTATCTCCAAATACAGTCAGATTCTGAGTTACTGGGGATTAGGGTTTCACATATGAATTTTAGAGGACATAATTCAGTCTATAAAACTATATAATTAAGAATCTGTTGACTAAAATGATGGCTCATGCCTATAATCCTAGCTACTTTGGGTGGCTGAGATTGGGAGGATAGTGGCTTGAGGCCAGTTTAGCAAATAGTTCTTGAGATCCCCATCTCCAAAATAACCAGTGCAAAAGGACTGGAGGCATGCCTCAAGTGGTAGAGCACCTGCTTTTGCAAGCAAAGCACTGAGTTCAAACCCCAGTCTCTCTCTCTCTCTCTCTCTCTCTCTCTCTCTCACACACACACACACACACACACACACACACACACACACAAAGAATGTGATGACTATTATAAGGAAAGAGTCCTGGATACTATGAGGAAGCATAAAAAGATACATAATCTTGACGGTGTTAGGGGAAGTCCTGCTTAATAAGTGACTTCTAAGCTGATAGATGAAGGTTGAATAAAGTTTACACAGGTAAAGGGAGAGTCTAGAGTGTTCTAGAGCCTGGACAGGGGAAAGAACAGTTGAGAAGGCTCTGAGGTGGGCTGCAGGAACATGGATGAGGCTACTGTGTTTAAGGGCATCAAAGAAAGGGAGGGTGGCAGGTAAGGTTCCTTTCTTCACACAGGGACTCATAGACCATTGTAGGGAACTGCTTTTCTTGTATGGGTGAGTGTCCTAAAGTTGACACTCTTTATAGACACTATGTGAGTGTCTGGATTATTAATCCTAGGGAATAAGGGAGACTGTAACTTGTTTTCTAAGGGTATCATGTGCCAAGTATTTTGCATGAATTGTCTCACATAATCCCTACCAAAGTATGTTATATTATTATTTTCATTTTGTAGCTGAGAAAAGTGAAGTTCTGAGAGGTTGAATAACCAAGTCAAAAAGTCTTATATCTCATAAGTGGCTGAACTCACCTTCCACTTGACTCTAGAACCCTTATGTATTGCTAAAATTTAAGTACACCCATGACTTTGAACAGAAAAATAGTAGGCAATAGAACAGATCAGACTGAATACAAATATCAACTTAAACAAGAGCTAAAACCATCTGAGTTGTGGCCTGTTTTCAATCACCAGCATTGTGGTACTAGTATAATGTATTGATGGTAACAGATTAGACAGAAATCTGTTTACTTGGACAGTCAGTTATTCAGCTATAGTTAATATAGAAAACCAAACACATTGAACAGTCATTGGAATACACACAGATGGAGTTTTCCTTCCCTTGGGCTCCTATAATAACACTGACATTCTCCACATTCAACGAAAAAGTCAGACTCATGATAGATAAGCCCAAAAGTTAATTAATGAAGGATCCTATAAGCTATAAGCATGAATCCAGGCTCAATAGCTGATAAGCCTGTGTGCATACATGTTCACATATGTAGGTGTGAGTCCTATTCACACAGCTCTGTACTAGGCACTCTGGTGGAGATGAAAATGAAAAGAATTCAAGAACTCACAGTTCCTCAAGGTTCTTTGTCTATTATACTTGGAAAAATGTGAATAAGGCTTACCTTGGTACGCAGAATGAAAGTATCTTATGTTCTTTTAATGTTCATATATGAAATTCCTATCATATGCCTGGCACTAAGGGAGTTATCTTAAATGTTGTAAATTAACTAGAAATCAATGAAATTTTTACCAAGATGAAGGAGTCAGCTTTAGGAACTAGAAGTGACTAAGACACTGGAAAGGTGTTTCTTGCTTCTTGACTGCTTTCAGAGCTGTGTTCATGAGTCACATTGATCAATTTTTGACTATTTAGAAGTAAAAGTTGCTTAAAAGGTGCCAGGCAGGCCCAAAAGACCAAAAATCGTATGTTCTCCCTCATATGCGGACATTAGATCAAGGGCAAACACAACAAGGGGATTGGACTTTGTGCACATGATAAAAGCGAGACCACACAAGGGAGGGGTGAGGATAGGTAAGACACCTAAAAAATTAGCTAGCATTTGTTGCCCTTAACGCAGAGAAACTAAAGCAGGTACCTTAAAAGCAACTGAGGCCAATAGGAGAAGGGGACCAGGAACTAGAGAAAAGGTTAGGTCCAAAAGAATTAACCTACAAGGTAACACACACGCACAGGAAATTAATGTGAGTCAACTCCCTGTATAGCTATCCTTATCTCAACTAGCAAAAACCCTTGGTCCTTCCTATTATTGCTTATACTCTCTCTTCAACAAAATAGTTTCTGCCGGGTATCGAGGGGTTGGGGGGGAGAGGGAGGGCAGAGTGGGTGGTAAGAGAGGGGGTGAAGGCAGGGGGGAGAAATGACCCAAGCATTGTATGCACATATGAATAATAAAAAAAAAGGTGCCAGGCATGGTGATCCATGTCTGTAATCCCAGCCTTCAAGAAGCTGAGGCAGGAGGAAATTATGAGTTTGAAGTCAGCATAGGTTACACAGCAAGACTCTCTAACACACACACACACACACACACACACACACACACACACACACACACACAGAGTTCCTTAAAAGGCAACCAGAAAAATAGTCATAGCTCCAGAATTTCTACTGACTTTTAAATATGCTGGGGAAAAAGGATGTCTGTTCATGTGTGGTTCAGATGACCGCTAAGTGACCAGATTTTTCACTGGCTGAGTCACACTAGAAAACCTGGACTCTACTGTGCGTGGCTGATGTGTTTTTGAAAAATGATAGTTAAATCCAGGTTAGGGGAACCGGATGAGTACTTTTGTCAAATGACTACACACTGCTTCATTATCTTTGTATATACATGTTTTTCTTTATTTGTTTTAAAGAATGTGTCCTAGAGATTTCTACTTTTCTGTAACCCTCCTCCCATAAAACAGCATCACAGGATAGTGATAAGATTTGCTTATCACTTTCAAGCAGGAATCCTAAAGCTTGGGGACAGATTTACCCACTGTCCCTAAGGGTCAGTGAAGTTCACTGAGAAGGTGAGAGAAAATAATTTTATGTTTTGTGAGAGAATTGCAGTATCTATAAACATTGGTTCAGCCCTTATTTGAATAGTAAGTCCACTGTTTTTCTTTTTACAAACTAATTCCTGTATAATAAAATGAACATAATATAATAATTACTCATCACATCTTGCAATTACTGGTCTAAGACTAGAAGATCCTATTTTCTTCTTTTTTATTATTAGCATATTATAGTTGTACAGGGGGTACATTGTGACATTTACATTTGTGCTTATGATATTTCTTAATTGATTCACCTCCTCCATCTTTCTCCTTTATTCCCCTCCCCCCT